ATTGAGGATAACCAGTTTCTGGTCTTCCGCTCTATCTTGGTTCGTAGATAGAGTTACGATCAACGAGATATGGAACGAAATTACAGCCGTGCAGTTCCTTTTGCCAGCTCTTTGAGCTTGCTTGCGCGAGCACAGCCGTCTTTCATCTATCTCGCTCGTTTCTTATAGTCGTCAAGAGCGAAGAACCGGGTGTACGCGCTCTCTCGACGAGAGCGCAAAATGAAAACAAAAAAGGAGATAACTCGTGTCGCCCGAGACATACGACAGCCTCGACTACGACGTGAAAGTCAAAGCAATGAAAGTAATCTGTTTAGCAGGCGTGCTGTAGGCGCAACAGCTGAAACGCGGGTAACGTATATCTTTAAAAGCGCTGCGGGTCGTCAAAAAAAATGAGGGTACACGAAAAAGCACATAAATAATTACGAGCAATTTTGCCGGCGACGGGTAGTAATGTGACGAGCGTTCGGGTAGTGGGATGAGTAACTGATAGTTACATATACGGCAACGCCGCAGCCTCTCCATTTTTCTCTCGCATTCGCGCTCGTAGGTCTACGTACGTATGTATACATCGGAAAGCCATCTGCGATCACGATTGTTGCTCTTACTTGTCTTCCTTTTCGCGAGACTTTACTCCGCGCGGCTGATTTGCCACCTTTATACAGCCGCGCGACGCGTACAAGCCAACGGAACCAGACGACGTCACCACGCGCGCTTTTATTAGCTTCCGTGCGCGGCTGATGCGAAACTCGTGTTGCACGCGACCGGCCTGACTTTTTTTCCTCTATTTGCGTGCTTATTTATCACGAAAACATCGCGCGAGAAAGGAGAGTCGTGATTCTCGGCGGACACGCGGAAAGAGCATCGACGTTTGCGCGTTTGCTCCTCGCCACCTTGATCTCGCGCGACAATTTTCACATTCGAAATTCACGGATCGAACAACCGGCAATTTAAAGTTAAGAGACTCGTTAGCGAAGCTCGAGTACGACACGCAAATCATCGAACGAAAGTTATAATTAAATTGTAAGCAGCGCAGAAACGCGCACGCTAATTTCCATTCGCTCCGCGTCAGAGTTTCTGACGTAACATTCCCCATTTCCGAAAAGTGCATTTTTCCAAAGAAAAGAGAGAGAGAAAGAGAAAGAGAAAGAGAAAGAGAAAGAGAGAGAGAGAGAGAGAGAGAGAGAGAGAGAGAGAGAGAGAGAGAGAGAGAGAGAGAGAGAGAGAGAGAGAGAGAGAGCTCGTAATTAGACGACGCTTAACAAAGTAATGCTGGCGGAAAAGCTTTGCCGAGGGCAGCGTCTAATTAAAATTAGAAGGAACGTGTGTATTACACGCGATACATCGCAAAAGAAAACGTAAAGACGCCCTTTCATTCCTCTAATTAGAGGAAGCTAGGCTGTTAAGCCTGGCCGCACGCTCAAACAAACAAGCGTCTTGCCGCAATACTCGAGCGAAGTGCGTGCATAATTAGAACGCAAATTAGCGAGATGGTCACGCTGAAAATGACGCGCGGCGCTCGCGTACTCCAGGACGAGAAGAGAGAGAGAGATTTTGCCTTGCCAAAGACAGTTCGAAAGGCTACGACGCGTCACTACCGAACTTCACCAACGTCGGGTTTGGAAGCTTTGCTTAGCTTCGTTTAGCCCTGCGATGACTGCGCAGCCGCCTTCGTAAAGTGATCCGTGATCGCGAGTTTGAAGAGAGCGCTCTCGCACTCTCGCGTCAATTCCCGCGCGAGTCGCGCGCTAAGAGCGGGCGGTTTCGTTCTCACCCTCGCGTTCGCAACGACGTCTCGCGTGGACAAACGAACGAGCCGTGGCGCGACGAAAGAGAGGAGAGGACCTCGTCGATCGCTCATTAATTTTCGCTCTTCCAAGAGAGCTCCCTCTGGGGCTCCCGTCGAATGGTCCGCCAAAAGAATACCTCATTTCGGGGAGAGGATCTTGACTGACAAATTATTTAACCGTGATAGTTCGATTGATTTTAGCAGACGCAAAAGACACCACGAAAGCGTGCTGGAATAGCATTGTCTCGTTTTAAAAACTTTTCGAATTCGCGATCGCCGAGGGAAGAGCAATATTTTCTCCGTTACAGCTTTCTCAGGAAACATCGAATGTTTTGCTCCCGCGAAACAATGCCAGACTGTGTACAGCAAAAGCTACACGCACAGATATCTTAAACGAACATATAGTGTGGCATATAGTTCGGCGATTTGTAGTTCGGCGATTTGTCAGGATATCGATCGTGACACGCCGAACCAAAAGTCGAGCTGGATACTTGGGAGAGTTAATTGAGTCTGAGAAAGGAAATGAGGAGAACCTATGCCTTGCTGACCACGCCGCGAACCATTATCGCTGGACCATTCTTATTATCATTTTAACTTACTGCTAGAGTGACTATAGCTCGATAAATATAGATATCGCTTCGATACAATCTCTGATTAATAAAGGTTGAGCTTTCCGATATTCATCGGTTTTGCAATCAATGGTCGGGCATCTGAGGAACTAATGACTTTTAAAAGAGTGTTATTGACTAAGTACTTACGCTCTTTACTTCTTCTCCAACTGGAAGGACTGGCAGTCAACATCAACTAATCGTCTAAGTTTAGCCCAGGTCAATTAAACGCTTTTCACAATCGCAATTACTGCCCGAGCGCACACGTTAAAATACATCCTCTCACCCGTAAGAGTACTTGAGTTACGCAACAACGGAGAACAGAAAAACCCTAACGGCAGCGGCAGCGGCAGCGGCAGCAACAGCAACAGCAGCGGCGGCGGTAACAACGCTTTTGAATATTCATGCGCAAAGCCGGACGATAATTTAATTTTCGAGAGAACAGTACGTCGAGTAACGAGCACAATTACTTCGAGACTATGAATTTGCCGAATCTTTTCGCGTGCGGAAACTCGACGTGGGAGAGAATGAAGAGCGCAAATGATAAATTAAAACCGAAATTAGTCTTGTTTAATTACGTTTTCTAATTGAGTTGCCAGGGTTTTTCCTCGCGCACGCTTACATTCACTGCTGGACATACGACACTGGAGATGAAAATTTAAAATCGCTTTTGGCTCTAGTTTTACGTATGTACCCGAATACAAAAATGTTTTGCATATTTTCTTGTTACTTTCAGTAAAATATTCATATTTTCTACAGTTCCTTTTTTTAAAACAAACTGATAGTTTGTTCGACTAAATCGTTTGCACCCGTATTTTCGATTAATTAACTAACTTGTTACGAAAAGGAAACATCCATCTCGAAGATAATCTTTAAAAATTTAATATTTTAATCGTGTTTGCAAAACAAACAAAAGAGTGGCATTTAGCTAAATGCGAATAACATAAGACACCTCGTGAAAACTTGAAGACGACGAAGACGAAAAAAAAAAAAGAATGAACGTATAGCTGAAATCTTTGTTATTTCACTTGTAACGAACAGAATAAAACAGTGTAAACAGAGTTTGTTATCCGAGCTGCAGCGCCGGTAACGTCGAAGCACACCGCTTAACGGACGAACGTGAGCGGCGGTTGAAACGAGAGGAGGAGAGAAAAAAAAGGCAAACACGAAAAATAAATGCACACTCGAAGGGAAGGGAAACGTTTATTCAGCGGCGCTGGCAAAATTATTCGACATGCACTGTCCGCGTCTTTCTGTGTTGACTCGAATCCTCTCGCTGGACGTAAATACCTGACGGAGAATTCGCCTTAGCTATTTTCTCTCGCAGCAAGATTTTTCTTTCGCGGGCTACCGAAAGATGAGCCACCACAAAATTTCAACCGATAAGCAGAGCAGTAGTGACGAAATTGATATGGTCGGCGTTCGTTATTAATTTTTATTGCGTGGCGAAATGTAATTTTATTGGTCTCTTCCGGAAAATTGTATCGGTTGTTTTTCTTTTTGGGAGGGATGAAGCCGCGCTTCCCGTCGGTTACTATAGCATTCGATGTTTTTGCGTCACGGTGTCGCTTCCATTGGCCTTTACGAGCGCCAAGTTTACTTTCGGAAAATGACCTCAAGATCGAAACTCATCCGCCGATTTGTTTTCGGAGTTTTCGCACTTTGGAAGCGCAGATGTCGTTAAGCATAATGAAATCGGAACCTTCGCTATTTCTAATCGAACGTTCGCGCATGCCAAGTTCGAAGGAAAAGCGAGTGCGACAAACCCGAAGGCTGGAAACAATCGCGCAATTAATTAGCCATGTATCTGGCAAATAATTCAAGAGAGAATCGATCGGCAAACACAACACTGCACGCACCCAGACGCGAACTATATCGTTGAAAGTTGTAAATGCCATTTATTTCGCTATGATATAGTTGCGTTTTGCATTATGTATTTTCAGCAAAGAGAACGCAGGAGAATAATCGACGCGATGGTTCATTAACTGCGGTCACGGGTCGAGTCTGCAATTAACCGTATTCAAAATATGGATCGCCACACCGAGACTATTTTAGCTACTAAAATGCTTGCATGCCTGCACTGATGTCCGATGGCCGTGGGTAGGTTACAATTTGAGAATATATACCTTCAACATTTGCAATTTCGCTCTCGCATGAATGCAATTATTGGCTGGTCACCGGTAATAATGAACGCTTTATCACTCGCAACATGGCTTATTGAATTATTTACTAGCGAGCCAGATACGTGGCTCGACTAATGAAGCGCTAATACATTGAAAGCCAGCAGTACGTGTAAATGCTCGGTCAGGGGCACCGAAGTGGTAAATGATCAATTGAAAAAATTGAGCGCGTAATGGCTTTCAATTCGACAACATGTAAATTTTCGAATGACACTTCTCTGCCAGCGAAGATTAGTTGCGCGAGGCGACGAATCAATCTGAAACGGCATTGACGATCGATAGCATGAGATTTCAACTCGCTCCAGGCCTAAACTCGCTCGCCCCGCTACAGCGTAAACCCCGGCATTCGATCGTGAATCACAATAGCGGCGCTCGCAAACAAATCGCGAATGCCACGATGACCGATGACGATATAAAATCTTGCAGGTTGATTTGGCACGATGATAGGTGCGAACTTGCGCTTCGGCATCGGAGCATCGGGCAATGTCACGTCGAATGCGACCAAGGTGTTCCAGTGCCACCCTGGCGGAGTGGCCGAGGCAGTTGTCATATTCAGCCTGGGTGCTATGGGCATGGGTGCCAACATCATACTCATGGCTCTTATTATCTGCAAACGATCGCTCAGAAGGTAGCGCATTGCATCACCTGTCCACGCTCAATACCTTTCCAGCACATAGTTTGAGTTTTAATATTGCTGGTCAACCGCAGTAGACGTTTCCAATAATTGCATGCCACGTAAAAGTAGGACGCTGTGGTGAGAATCGCGACTGGATTATTAGTCGCATAGGCTTCGTTTAACGAGCTTATTTCGCGCACTATTACACGAGTCCCAGGTTAAAATACCCTTGCTTATGCCACGAGGTCCAAGTTAAGAGCTAATAGTTGTTGTTGTGCGCGAAGGTGGTCGCAAGGGCTGCTGTTTCACCAAGCGATGGTCGACTGCGCGCGAGCGGCAATCCTGCTGCCGCTCGGCTCGAGCATTCTCAATTGCCAGCCGGTGAACAAGTGCTCCCTCGTGGAGACGGCCTTTCTGCTGCTCGTCACCGTGTCTACGGTCAATATGCTCACCACAGTGCTCAACGACAGTCCCGTCTTCGCCGACGAGGCGGAGGACGAGTCCGAGACTGCTGCGCCTATACTCATGGATTCGCCACAGGTGCGTAAACGACGCTCATTGTTCAACGAGCAGCATTTCGCTTCGCTGTAAACGTAGCCGAGTTGAACTTGTAGTAGATCGCAGCGGACGACGGGTAATGGCAGCTTTACATCGACGTTGCGGCGCCTCGCGCGAAACTGCGACATTTGCATTATCCGTGCGACCTGACCTACGAACATTTAACACTGAAAGCTATCCGAAACTTCGAATGTATTGTCCGTCGATTAGTCAACTGAGGTTGCGCTCAAGCCCTTCCCCCCTCGCGACGTAATCGATGACCCATTTTCAAAATTGTCCATAATGTTGGCGAGTACGAAAATTAATAAATTCAAGAGAATCGGAATACGCGCATGTATCATCGAAAAAAAAAACCGAAGGACTCGCGTGCGCGAGTGTAATGGTACATAAAGGGGAAATCGATGAGAGGAAGCCTGTAGATTTCAAATTTAATTTCGAGAGATTCCGAAGCCACGGAAATTCGCTGCCAAAAAACGCTTTTACCGTAGATTACGGAGCCACTCGATATTCTTGTTCTTTGCAGTGCGTGGTGTTCGGCACTTTTATGATTTGGTTCGCCAGTATAACGATAAATCTTGGGCCGACATTCCTGAGCGGGGCGCTGGCCGCCAACACGGAAGCCGGTCAGAACGAGCCAAGTTGTCCGCTAGTTCACGGGCCCTTCAGGCACTACATACTCAATCTGCTCTGGATTTTCATCAACATTATTTGCGTGATGCTCACGCTGTTTCACCTGAGGAAGCTGCACCGAGATTTGACAAAGCCTAATGTCGAAGCCGTGAGTCGCCGATTATATATGTACAGTCGAGTTTGGGAGCACCCGATGAAAATTCACGAGTACCCGTATCAAATTGCAAATTGCTTTTCTGTTTCTACCGGGCTTTTATCAAATTTGCATGAATTTCCGATAATTTGCATTCACACTGAAGCGCGAAGTGCGCGTTGAGCAATTATTAAGCTTTGAGCCGCGTGTAAAGATTTGCTTACGTGCTGTGCATTATACGCAGGACAAAGTGTTGAAACTAAAATGGGCTTTAAACTTTGGATAAATAGAAAGTAAATTGAGAAAGGGAATACATCGTTAAATGTTTTGTCAGTACAAGAGTATTCAATATGTTCTATAGTGACAAATTTTTAAGAAGTATTTGTATTTTACGAACATTTCTTGTTTACGTGAATTTGTAGCTTAAAAGATGCGTGCTGATGTTTAAAATTATAGCATAGTTACAATGATTTCATCATCGATTTTACCATTAATAAGATAACGGAATCCCCCAATCAGACTCATGCAAATAAACAGAATTATCAAAAGCAATCCGTTGCTTTGAATGACAAAAGCTCCAGCAAAGTATAAAACTTTATAGACCACTAAAAAAAGATAAAAAAAAAGTTTACTTTGGCAAATGGTAATTTAGTCCCAAAATGCGCACAGGTACGGGTAACGGGCTTGGTGACCACACTGGTGAATGTGACTGGTGGTCCTGGTGGCATTGGCGGCAGCAGCGCTGGAGGCACAAATGGCCTCAACGAGTCTGGTGTCGTCGATGCGAGGAGGAGCAGTGGCACGCCAAAGGTAAAGCATTTGTCGTTTCTCTTCTCCGTTCGAGCCCAAAGAAAATACGCCCTCGACTTTATTGAGAGACCGTGACGGACCGAGGAGAAGTTATCTCCTCTCGTGCAGGTGACCCTTATTGGGCACAGCGGCTACTTGGCCAATGCTCGCGGTGTATGCAAATGGAAATTCGCTCCGTCACACTATGGACAATTTTTTTTGAGAGTGAAAAAATCAAATATCTCGGCTCGAAGTGAAGCCAAAAATATTAACCGGGAAACAAATGAAACCGAGACCGATGTACAATTCGAGAAAAATACTATAGACGATAGTTCTATTATATGACCTTAAAATTACCTTCGAAACTTTATGAAACCAAATTTTTACGATTTTTTTCTACTTTTACCAGTTTTAACCGTTTCAAAATTGATTTCAAAGCATAATATTTTATACAATTTGCTACTACAAATTCAAATCTGGCATCAAAAATTGTGTAACATTTTTCTAATGCTGAAGAGATATTTGATTTTTTTACACTCATAAAAAGAATGGTCCATAGTGCATCGATTCTTGAATATGATTGACGATCAGAGTTGCGCGCCTGCGCGAGAAAAAACGAAACGGAGAGCAATTCCATCGCAAGTTTTGCAAGCTGCGAAAGCGAAACAAAAGAAGACTGTGTTTGCTTGTCGACAGAGAGTAGGGGCGATCGAGGAGCACCGCAAGATGAGGAATTACCTGCGGCGCATCGAGCGCGACGGGGTGCAGAGGGTGAAGATGTTTCTGGTCATCACCGCGGCCTATGTCATCTTCTGGGGTCCCCTATTCTTCGTCACGCTCGTGCATCATCCGGCTATCGGCAACACCACTGGTTACGAGGTCAGTTCGACCTGTTTACTTTTATCTGATGCGTCTATACGTCAACAAGCCAGTTTAGCCAATAAATCATAATTAATCAATCTCAAGAATCGAGCGGTAAGTTAGGATAAGTGGATCGACGATAACAAATAAGTTGGTAACGAGGATTCACCGATCATGATTTATGTACGAAGGATACCTACGTGTATTAGACCGCATTCGTAAACTAAGTTTCTAACTATAGGAGTATGTAATTCAAGAGAGAGAGAGAGAGAGAGAGACTTCTGAACATGTGCGATAAGGTAGAGAAAATATGCAAATGTGCCCTTTCAGAATATACACGCGTATTACATATGGTGATGAGTATATCTATTGAACGGTTATCGACTCTATTATATCAATTTGAAGCGAGCCTTTTCATCCGTTATTTATAGTTTAGACGACTTTTTTGACTTTTATCCTCTTGCTTTTCGCATTTGAACTTCAAATTTCAAATCAACAATAGTGCTATTACGAAGACTTTGCCAAGCTATAAGCCGAAAAAAGAAAACGCAGATAGAGCAAATAAATTGCTTACTTCGCATTTGGCAAACTTATAGCAAAGCATCTCAATTTGTAAAATGCAATAACAACATAATTCAAGCTTAGTTCCGCAAGGGAGAATTCTTGGAAAACTGTATCGATTTTAGAACTGAAAAAACCTCAGCGTAAACTTCTAAATCACCACGAGGGGAAACAGCCGAAGAGGTGGAGCTTTCCGTGGATGCAAGTTTGATAACCGATAGCGGGACGGGAGGCGAAAACTCACGATAAAGTGAAAGAGGGGGTTACTACACAACACACCGAATGAATGGGAAAAGTTACGACAAGCCGTGAGAATAACCGAATGCATCACACGCACACAAGTGCCGGCGTCGATCCATAAATTCTCCAGCTGGTCGAGCACACTTATGCCCGAGTGTACTTTGGATATCGAATGCAATATCTATAGATCGCTGACATTTGTTGTGAGTTTGCGCGAGCGCGCGTTTGTCGTACGCGAAGGAGTAATCGAATTTAAGCTCGCAGCGGGAAAAATAGTTCCTCCGAGTTAGCCGACAGCTCTACTGATCGACCTGTCATACTTTGCGAGTAATAATTTACGAAGTTTTAACGAGTTTTTCAACTTTTCTTTTCTCTCTTTATTATTTCAACGGTTGTCGAAGTGCAATCTAGATTATTGTAATGGCGTGTTTCGTTGGATGATGCTTGAAAGGAAAATTACAAATTCTCTAAACAGCTGAAGCTCTCGTCAAAGTCAAGCCATAAAAAATTCAGTAGAACGCGTTGACTCGCTCGATAATCCACGTTAATGCACACCAATGTGACTGCGTTGACCGGCAGACCTCGAAATGCAACATTAGCAAATGCGCGACCGGGGAAGCGGAGTCGATACATAACTAACGAAGTAAAGATGGCAACGATGACAGATATAGTTCTGGTCGTTAACCGAGGATAATGCATGAAACGTGCGTTTGGATATCAATTTTCGATGTTGCGTACAATTAGCTGCAGTTTGACTATAACTCACGCGCAGTGCGATTACGCGCGAAGGTTAACTAGCCAGGTACAAGCGAATTCCCCGATGGCACAAGTTGCCGAAAGTTTCCTCCAAGTAAAGTAGTTTACCCTTCTGCAAGCCACTCGATCGCGTATCAAACTGTTGCGTCTGCTTCCATTTTGATAAAGCGAGTTTACTGTAAAAGTTGGATGACGTCTATTCAAACTGGGTTTAACGTCAAGCTCAACATTGCACAGAAGCTCTGTGTCTAAGACAGTTAAGACGGAAGAAACCGCAGGAAGTCACGTCCTAACAAGGCAGACAAGTAGATTTGGTTCAGAGTTTGGTCGGACGCAGAGCCCACAAAGGGAATTCTACAGTGATACTCGTCGAGTGTTTAGCTTGCGGTTTCTCGATTGACGTTACGTTTACGGTCGGTTTTGAAATTCACCTCGGCCCACCGTTCAATTATTCAACCTGCGCCGCATTGTGTCCCACAACTTAAGCGATAACGCTCTTAAACTGCAGCCGAATCGAAGCGAATACTCTTCTTTTTTAGGTAACGCTGCACATAGCCTACGTGCACGCTTTCGTAAATCCCACGTTGTTCCTTACTCTGCATCGTGGTCTACGCCAAGGTCTGACGGACGTCTGTTGTGGCTGTTGCGAGAGCTTCGCACGTTGGATTCTCGGGGCGACGGCTCCTGGCAGTCCGATGCAACAACCAGCCCGTTACGACCCTGCCACTGGACTTCGGATACCATCGGTGGTTGAATTACCCTACGTTAGCTCGCAATCCAACATCGCCACTTCTCACTGCGATCTCAGTGACGTAGCTAGGCTTAAACCACCACATCCACCTCAGCCCAAACATCATCATATGGTGAGTAGCTAATATTCTCTTTTTTTACGGTAATGACGTGTATCTTTTGTGTTAGATGAACAATTTTGAGTTGAGAGTGGCGGTTTTATATCGATCATTGTGTAATCGATCGTAAAAATAAAATTGTATTTAAAAGTGATTGAATTATATATTTTTAAAAAGGTGGGTGGTAGATAGAGCGTGTTGTTTTTCCTTTTTTTTCTTTTTCACGTGTGATTTATTTTACCATCCTCTATTCCTTCTAGCTTCTTTAATCTAAAGGAACACTAAACAATTTGTGAAAGATGGCGCCATTTTTATGTCTGCCAACGCTAAACGCATATAGGTATCAAAATATATTTCTATAAACTTATCCATCATTTTTATGAGAATTTAATAACGCTTATCGTTATAACAGTCATGGGCAAGTACCAGAGATGTAAACAAATGTATTAACAAAAATTATTTAAATACTATTTTGATTGATTTTTTTCACTAAACTATTAGTAACCTATTTTCTTTTGTTCATGACTGGATTTTTTTTTTCTAAAAAAATGCATGTAACATTGCTTTATGCCATCAATAACGAACTTCATTTTGATAGAAATTGAAGTGATAGTTTAAGCATCAAATAGTGTTATCAGTCAAGTAGTAAAATTAAAACCATTTAAAACAACTGAAACGTCATTTATGATTATTCATTCATCTCCATATACGTATAGCATGCATTAAATACAGTTTTTTAAATAACACGTCACTAAATAGCTTTCATTTAAAAATGAAAAATTTATTTATGGTATTTACAAAATTCAGGCAAGAAAAACATTGCCACGTATTGTTCGAAATCTAACCACTTAACTTGCAGCATGTTAGAAAGAAAAATCGCCCGTAATATCAGAGAGTACTCTTAAAACACTTTATTGTCTATGCCATCATTAGCAGACGAGAAGATGCCTCTTTTTTGTTTATTTCACATTATGACATGCCACAATGCATAGCTAAGTAGTTCGCAGCATGAATATACATGCAGGCGATCAATTAATTTATCGAGTGATATGCGTATGCTAGTATATAGCCAATGAAGGTGAATATCCTGACGTATCATGGCCAGTAGATTTTCATGATATAAGAATAGTTTATCAACGTAAGAGACAAGAAACGCAAAAATAATAGATTCGTCAGATAGATCTTACCGTCAGTACTTCGTAAAGTTATTTACAATGCATTAAGTTATATAAGTTATACACTGAAATCGAATCAATTTTTTTGTTGATATACGTAGTGGTAACTTAAAACTAGTTTTTTACTTAAAAACTTTGCTTTTCTTTCGTCGATTTATAACTTATTAGAATTTGTGCAATTGAGAGTATCAAGAATCGACTAATTGAATGGAATTATTATTTTCATATTAGTTACTTGCATTAAGCCTTGTAAGTTTTCTACGCTATACAGCGAAATGATAGTTTCCATCAAAATATTTACGTAGTTAAAATTGTTCTCGTATACAATAATGATTATTCGTTGATTATTTAGAAAAAAAAATCAAGATTACGAATGATCATTACAGCATAAAAAGTGGTCAATCGTTAAAATGTCGAAAAACACGTGACTAACGAGTGAATGTATCTGTTCAGAGCGACGATCCATGGAATATACCGGCGTCAAGGCCAAAAAGCACGACGAGCCTCTACGAGGAAGAACTGTCACGACGACCGAGTCTCTTGCTGCCACCACCGCCAGAACTCAGCGACTTACGCGCGACAATCAGTCCGGCGAGCAGCTTAGTCAGCGAGTAAGCATCCCGAATGCAACTTACTGCTCTTGACAGTTTTTTACTTCTCTTCCTCTCTATTCGCGCAAGCGAAGCTGAGCTTCAATATGGAATTGCTGATAATGTATACGCGACGATTGTAAGTAGTGACTGAATGGGTTTTTATTTATTTGATTGTTTATTTATTTGTTTATTTATTTTTTAATGGATGAGCGAGTTATCAAAAAATACGCGAGAGATGTGCTATATGGCGATAGAATGAAAGAAGTCTTGGATTATTTTTCTTGAGAGAAATTTTTGAATTAAAATGATTTCGATAATAATAATGAAGAGAAATCCCCTTTACAAAGCTTGACTTTAGAAGTTTGAAGATTATGTATGTATAATTTGATAAAATGAAAAGAAATGGAATGATTTGAAGCATACAGTGAATAAGATTAAAATCTTCAATGAAAATTACAGGTGTCAAATTAAGATAAAATCTTCGCATTCAATAAACTGTTTCAAATGCCAATGACTTTCAATTTGTTTAGAAATTGAATTGAAAAAAATACTTCATCAAGCAATCAGTATTTGGATTAAAGATGTGTTCGTAATAATTTTTTTTCTCGCCAACACTTTCATAAGTTCTACGATCTGATGTTGTGGTACATATCAAGCAATTAATAAGTTATAATCCTGTACTAACATTCAATTTACTTTATGAACTCTTACATTAGCACTCGAAAGATCTAAAAGATTTTATCATTAAAAATAACTGACTGAACCACATATTACACGTTGATAAATAGAGCAAACGATTATAAAATCATTATTTCAGTACACTTTTTCGTTAACTTAGACGAGTTTCCAAACATTTGTAAAACTGTAGAGTTATTCAATTGTCATTTTAAACATTAGGCAAGTTATTTTATTTATTTTTTATCAAAGTTATAGTTTTGAGCATTTTATATGAATTTTTATAAACTTTCAAGTTGTTTCAAAGTCTTTTTATATTTATATCAATGTATACATTTTATCGAAATAATTATTGTACGAATTATTTATTAGAGATACATAGATTATTTATTCTTTTTTTTTAATTTATATATTATTAATTTTTATATATATCCAATAATATTATATATCCAATAATTTATATATATTCAATAATATATAATATTATATATTATTGATAAAATATCTCATAATGAAGGTATACAGAGAAATTCACAATTTTGACTACATTCTAATTATATCTGTGATTAAAGGAAATCGGTTAAAAAACCATACTTGTATTAAACTACAAAAGTATATTAATTTAACCAGGGTCTATTCAACGAAGATTGAAGTAATGTTTTATACCGATCATGTATAGATATAACATTACAGCGAAATTGATATTGTACTTCTACAAACTATTGTAATCATTGAACTGAAATCAATACTTTATTCATACCATTTTTATTTTTGGTTAGTAACTGTTTTTTTCAATTGTAACTAAAAATGTTACGGATCATGTAATTGTGAAGGAAAGACATTCATTTTTAGATCGTTACTCACTTATATACGAAGTGTTTAAAATATATAAATATATAATTTAGACACTTTAAGACCGAAAACTATTATATCTGAAATATATCGATGTAAATACAATTCTAACTGATACATACAAATACTAATGTAAATCATCAATATAGATTATGGACGTAATTTTAATATATATTATTTGAAATTATTATTTCTTTTCAGCAACCAATTATTTTTTGTAATATAATAGTAAAACCTAAAATTTTATATGTAAGAAGCATATTCATGAATATTACTAAAACTTGAAGGATTCACATTTTGACTAAGCATAAGTTAACTCTATGATCACATCCATTAAAATTATGAGATACCTGTGCTCATGCTTGTATATATATATAATTGAAATTACTTTCAACTTATATAATATTATTAACGTGCCAATATTTAAGAACAAATTTATTTTTTCAATTACGGTACTAATGGTAGTCTTTGGGTTATTTATGTTTAGATACAGTAAAAAAATCTTGAAAAAGATCTGTATTATGTAGATATAAGACATGAAACTGAATATACTAAATATGTTATAAAATAGGTTGCATTTTGTATTAAAATAAAGATTGTAATGTACTCAAAGTTTAATTAGTTGTACACATTAATAAATCTTTAAGCACAGCACATTTGTATGTTAATCAGTTTCTCAAAATAAACTTGTGTGGATTTTGCAAGTGAACAAATTACTGAAAAATATATATATCGTTAACATTTAGAGATTCAAAATTTGATTTGAAGTTCTTTCAAAAATATTTTTGTCATATTTTAGTTCAAGTATAATTTGGTCGTACTTAAAGTCTATATAGTAGCACATGAACATGTTTCTCGTTTCATAAAAGCATGCTCGGAAATTTTTGTAAAAAGCTATGCAACGATCGAATAAACCAAAAATAAAACGTATGATAAAATAAGCAACAAATCTAAAATATACTCTGATAAAAAATATTCTAAACTAAATGTAGGAATTGTAATGAGAACGTAATAAAGAAATCCGGCTGTGTTGTATGAAGGATACACTGGCAAATTATGTTTTTATAGTCACTAGTGCAACGTGTATAATCAATGATTAATTATTTTTTAAGCAAATACTACGAAAGTATTTTTTTAAGTTTATCACTTAAAGCAAAATAGTGAGTGGCAACATTCGAGCACAAAAATAAATATGATTGAAAATTCTAAAGTAGTCCGCCCAAATGGAGCATTATACAAAGCGTTTTTGTCAATTAGAATGTAGCAAACTGTGTGCCAACAAAAGTACATAAAAATAGTTATCCTTAAACCTATAAACTAGCATCAATTAGATGTTTGATGCAAATTAAAGCTTTGATTGTAATTTTTTTCAATCGACCCAAAATCAATTAAACAGGAATATTTTTGTAATCTATTGCCAACGAGTCATGCAATTTAAAGAATGCTTAAACATTAAATAAGTTACGGGAAATCTAGAGTTAATCAATTGATTTGGAAAAATACAATACGAATATTTTGGCAAGCTTCATCAAGATGGAATATACTTTGCCTTCATATTTCCGTAGATTTATATAATGTTTCATACATCGTCAGAAAAAATGGCCAATAAACTATATGTAATAAATAAATTATAAACAAATTGTGCCTAAAATATCAATATTAAAAATACACTATGTACGAATACTAAAGGAAATAAACACTTCAGGAATTGGAAAACTCCATGAAGATTTCCATTAGAATCAATATACATATTAAATACGATATTAATCATAAAGATGGTATGACTATGTACGAATGAAAAATCATCAAATTACAAAACGTCATCTAAATCACTATAGTTCTATGTGAATAATAAATAATAAAATGTATATATCATCACGTTAATAGTCTATGTTTTTTTAATTTTCCCACCAGCGAAAGCTTTTTTTATGTGCATCTCATTCAATAATCTACTATAATATAAAGACTTATGACTTACCTGTTCAAAACCGCCTAAAATTTCAGTCGTATCCATTGCTGAGTTAACAACGATTGACTTGAGCTTTTGTCCCGTCATTTGAGCTAAAACTCGTACAACACTACTCTTGCCACATCCAGATCCACCTACCTAAGTAAAGAAGTTTTATTATTATAATTATCTAAAGTATCATTGAAACAAATTTAGTAAAATGTTTTCTATTTACAATTATCGACATCCAGTTTCTCTGAACACACTGAGCAAGACTTCTAAGAGTTGATATTTGATCACGTAGAATTAACAATTTTTGATCAATATACTCTGCTGTTTTCGTTCGTTTTAAATCCACCTCTCCAAAATAAACATTCTCATCAGTAACATGCACTACTGGTGACGGTAAAAGTGGGTAATTTTCTTCCGTAAATATTTTCCTATAAATTTCTTTCACCTGTATAAGTAAAGATTTATTTAGTAAAGTACGTCATCAATCTTATTAAAATTCAAAATAAAACTATGATGTGGAAAACTTACTTTTTCTTTGTCTTCTTTTGTTCTCATTCTGTCAACATAAATAAGTTCAACGGAACTACCAGGGTTACAAGTAACTTTTTCATCTGCTTTAGTTTCAGCGGCGGCGACTGTGGCTTCACACCATCTAGTAATATCTCTTAAATTCATTTCCCATGGGGCTCCGTAAAAACCCCAAGAGACTCCAGCCTCCTTTAACAGTCGTGAATTAAATTCAATCATTTTACCAATGTCATCTTTTTCAATTAGTGGGAATTGCGAGCCGGCTATAAATTTCAAGTCCTCATCGGTTAATGCGTCAACGAAAACTTGAGTGAATCTGTTCAAAAAAGATTTAGGCAGTCCGCGTCTTGCACCACCTTGACGTAATGGATTTTGACAAGCGAACAATTTTGTTTCAGGCTTTACTAAAAACGTTTTTCCTAAACGATTATAAAAAATCATTATTATTGTCGGATACTACAGATATAATTTTTTTAACTATCAAAAAAAAAAAAATTAATTTAGATTTACCTAATTCTGGAATATAAACTTCTCCTCTGTGATCAAAACAAGCGTTGAGTCCTTCAAGAACGGATTGCGATGCCAAATTTAATTCATCTAAAAGAATCCAGTGTCCAGCTTTCAAAGCACGCAAAAATGGACCATCTCGCCAAGCGAACTCGCCACCTTTACCACCTTCAACAGGCAAATCAGCTCCAAAGAGATCTGATACATCGGTTTGATCGCTGAGATTTATGCGAAGACACGCGTGACCAGAAACTTTGGCAAGTGCAGAAACGAGACTAGTTTTTCCCACTCCTGGGCTTCCTTCCAACAAAATCGGCTTGCTAAGTTGAAGTGCTCTCAAAAGTTTTAAAGCGTTTTGCTGAGTCGTTGAAGCGAGGAATGTAAATGATGCTGAACTTTCGTCATATTCATTCGAGCCTTTCGGTATGTAAAAGGGAGTAATGCCGAATACATCATTTGAAGGCGACGGCAATCCCGAATCCACTTCCATTTCATCATCAGTAGATGGTGTAGTTAATTTTTCCATTTGTTTAAGTAAAAATTCGAATGCATCTTCCTTGAAAAGTTTGAGTTTTTCAATGCTGTAGATAAAATTAAATGATTAAAAATTTTATTAAAATTTCGACACGTAACGAACACTAAGAAATTATTTTATTTACCTTTCCATACTGGTTAATCCAGATCCTAAACTGTCAATATACGTCAGAAAAGCTCCATGGAAAAAAGCGTCAGGAACGCTAAGTCTGAATTTTTTTTCTTTCGCAACGATAGCATTTATGAAGTTGACCCAACTCAAAATATCTCTGATACTAACAGTGAATCTTTTTCCTACATCTGAAGTAGATAACCACTCAACGAAGTTCAAAATACTTTCTGCTAAACATGTTTTGTTATCGCCAACTTCATTAGTTAAATTATGTTCAATAATAGCTTGCAAGTCTTCACGTTTTGTGCAGCCGTCACACCAAATTTCTGTAAAACGATTTCTCAACGCAGGAGATAGCTCTTTTTTACCGTAATCACCTCCAGGATTCATAGTACCAATAAAGAAAAAATTTTCGTGTGCAACAATTGTATTATCTACGTCTTTTGAGCCTTCAATAATGCCAGTACCCTTTTCGGCTAACAATAGTTTTCGTTCGGGTTCCAATAGAGAATTCAATCTCTCTAAAACACTGTCATCTGCTAATGATATTTCGTCAGCCAAGAAGAAATCTCCGCTTTGCATAGCCATTATTAGTGGACCGTCAACCCATTCGAACAATTTTTGATTCTCTTCGTCAGTCTGATTTCTTACCGGTCTTAGATTACCTAAGAAGTCGGATGATTCAGTGTGCATGTGACAATTCACAATGTGCAACTTTTTCGCATTCATATAAGCTATCAGTTGGCATACAGTAGTCTTTCCTCCTCCTGTCTCACCGACAAGTAATACTGGCTCTTTGAATTGATATGATTTTCTAACAAGCACTGCCATTCGTCGCATGTGATAAGTCCAGACTATGTGAGCAAATGACGAATCTTTTTCCTGTTCTATATCTTCCAAAATAGCTTTTGTAACAAGTGAGGTTTTGTCGCTCAGAGTGAATAAATTTTCTGGGTCAACATCACGCTTTAGATGTTTCTTGATAACCTCTCTGAAATAATACATAAAAGCATTACTATCACTGAATATCCATGCAATTTCTAAATAAAGTTCAAAGCATTTTAAAAATTACCTTATTTCTTCAGCTTCCTCAAATCTACGAACTTTGGCAGCAAGTGCTAAATAACCCTCGTCGGCTAAATGTTGACTCCAGTCATAAAGCTTTTGTCCCATATCAGGAGCAAGCCTGTATCTTTCTCCCCATCGGAAAAGATCTCTCAACGTAATAAAACCTTGCTTTCCAGCAAAAGCTGCGGTATTCTTCCTACGCACTTGTAAATCTGTCATTACTGAAATGATCTGCTTGCAGTAAGATAATGGCATACTGCAACGCTCGTGTAAGATAGATTCGAGTTCAGCAGCTGGTATTTCATCGAAATGGAATTCAGCAAAACGGTTTCTGAATGCTCGCGATAAAACTTTTCTACCGCCATACAAACCAGGTGGATTCTGTAAAATCATATAAATAAATTATTTCTCGCAAACATGAAGAATAAAATTTTGTTGATAATTCTCATACCTGAGTAGCAAATAACATGAAGTTTTCATGAGCTTTGACAATCTGTTGAGTTTCTGGTATAAACAACTCCCTATTGTCATCAAGCACTCGGTTGAGCGCTTCGAGTACATCGCTTGGCGCAAGATTCAATTCGTCAAGAATAATCCAATACCCTTTGCGCATAGCCTCAACAAGAACGCCTTCTTTGAAAACAAGCTTGCCAGACTCATCAGCTACGTAACTGCCTACGTATTCTTGTAAATCTGTGTGCTCGTGATTGTTAATTCTTACGCACACGTGTCCTGAAGCTTTGGCAAGATAAGTGATGAGACTAGTTTTTCCAACGGAAGTATCGCCTTGCAGGAGAATCGGCATTTTACCGATAGACACAACTCGCACCACATCCTTCAAGTTACGTCGCACGGACGGAGTAAGAATGTAGTTTTCCGGAACTTGCGGCTCCATACTTCCCTTAACTACCCAGTAACCTTCAAATTCAACGTAGTCATTGTTTCTCAAGCAACTGAAATATATAAAAGAAAGTTTCAATAGAGAGTTGTTATTTACATTTTTTTATGTGTGCTAAGTTATATTCACCTTGGCTTTGGTATAGGCGTCCCGAGCACTGATTTTGCTGTAGTTTTATCCAAGATGTAATCAATAATCATCTTCTGCACGATCGGATACGAACTGTCATTCAACTGAGTTAGAAAACTGAGACTAAATGCTTCGTAGAGAGATCTCGGTACAGCACTACATGGATTGGTAGCAGCTACGTTGAGAGCTCTGCACAAAGTTCTTAAACTGTAGTGTGGTTTATGACCAGTTCCATCGAACAACGTAGTCGTGGCTAGCTCTCGTACTTTCAAGTAGAACTTGACGATACTTTCTTTCTTGTTTGCCGATAAATTCAATTCATCGAGATATGAGCCCACCAAGAGAAGTAGGTCTGGAAACTCGGTGAGTTCATCGATATAAAATTCTGTGAATCTGTTTCTTAAACCGATCGGTAACTCCTTCTTCCCAACATCGGTTGCAGGATTCATACATGCGAATATCGTAAAATCTTGATGACGTTTGATAGATTCTTTGTCTCCTCTCTCTAGTAGAGATAAGGAGCCAGAAGATCTTTCGAGTAAACCTGAAAGACACTCAAGAGTTTCAGCATTGGCAAGATTAATTTCATCAAGAAGCACCCAGTAACCTTCTTTCAGAGCTTTGATTAGACTTCCCTCGATAAAAGCAAAGGCCAAGGAGAGTTGATTTTTCACTTGAGACGTTAGTTTTTCCAGCTTTGCAGATATCCTTTCCCACTTCTTTAACATTGTTTTATCCTTATTTTTTGAAGCGTCTTTTGATTCTCCGTTAATATTTGAAACTTTGGTTTTAAGTCTGCCGACAGCAGCGCTGGTACTTTTAGTCATCAAAGCAACTAAGGTTTTCCATTTGCCTTTTTCATAACATACCCCAATGTGATCTAAGAATTTTTTATTCGGTTCCACAGCGAAAAATGAACGGAAGAGTAACTCGAATTCTTCTCTGATAGGGCAGATCAAAAATTTCATATCCACTGGTTTGTATCCACCAAGTAAATCGGCGCTTTCACTTTGTTGATTCATGTTAATGACTATCAATTTGTGCCCTGTATTTCTTGCCAAGTACTGTACTGAACTGGTTTTTCCAGTACCAGTTTCACCAACTAGTAAAACTGGTTCTTTTTGAATAACACAACTAGCTATACGTTCTAACAAACAAGCAGACGGTCGCGTGAATGAAAATGTTACGGTATTTCGTTCTATTTGCGTAGTTTCCCACTTCTTTCTTTTCAATTTGCTGCGCCCTCCTATGAAATACTCTGGCATTAGACTGATAACTGGTTTGTGAATTTGAAGAAGGTCCTGTGCTTTTGTTTTGATAATTCCCAATTTGGTGCCTATAGCTATTGCTAATGCTAATCGTTGTTCTAAAAATAAAAAATAATTGTAAATAATTCATTCTTGTCTTTTAAAGAAGTAGAAAGAAACAATTTCGATTATTTGATTTACCTTGATTTGGCACAGAACAACAGAAGATATCAACTGCATCTTGGAATATTTTCAAAGCAGACTCCTTTGAGTTTACAACAAAATCTATTGAAGCTCTTGAACACCATTTAATCAAATCTCTTGTAGATATTAGTCTTCCAGTTTTCAATATCGTTTTTTGATTTTCATCAGTAATGTTTGTTTCGTGATCTCCAACTGAAAATAGTAGAAAAACATCTACCATTCTTACAGCGACAGTTTGCAACACTGGAAATAAGGCTTGAACAATTGTGACTAATTCAATTTCAGACAAAGGTTCCATATTAACACATAGCCAATGTTTTTCCAATAGACTTGTAGCTCCAGATATTTTTCTGTGAAGATCTGACGTGGATCGAATTAATCTTTGTGTTACAAACAATTGGAAGTCACTTTTTACATGTATTGTATCTCGATAACCAGGTACAGACAAGGTTCCAGTTTCTATCAAATTACTTAAAACACTTGCAACATCTAATGCTGCACTATCAATATCTTCTAAAAGTAGCCATTTTCCAGCTAGTATTGCTTGGGTCAAAACTCCAGGTTGCCATATAAACTCTCCAGGTATGTCTGTGCATCTGTAGGTTCCAAGAAGCATTTTTGAATCTGTTTGATCTCCTAATTGTACTTTAACAAAATCTGAAGATCCATGACCAGTTATTTTGGCTAAATGCTCAACTATGGCAGTTTTACCACATCCAACTGCACCTTGCAAGCAAACACATTTTCTGGAAGCTACTGCAAGAGCTAAGCTACGAAGATTTTCTTCCATTGACGGTACAGAAATTAAATCGCTTTTTACATCTTTTGTTTCTTTTCTAAAAACTGGTAATAAGACACCAGCCACTGATACTACATTTGAAATATTTTTGGCAATTTCTTCAGTTTCTTTCGCCGGAATACTCAGTTGATTGACAATGTTTACACTATTTTCTTTAGTAATATCAGTTATGAAACTATCTAAATTTCTTATCATTGTTTTTGCACAATCTATTCTCAATGATTCTGACATTTCCAAAACCACGGCAACACATTTCATAGCCAACCTGTAAATAAAATACATTAATGATTCAATTATATTTAAAGATAAGTGTGAATTTGAAAGAAAACTATAAAATCTAAATAAATTATAAAATATTATTAAGTAATTCATGAAATTTTAATATTTAATTTGATATAAATACATGAAAATTTAATATTTAATTCGTTAAATGATTTCATTTACCATTTTACTTTATCATTTTCATTAGATAAATATTTGAAAAACTTGGACCAGTTCCATTTGTACTTGAAGTGATTAGAAGAAGCTTGTAGGATATTGTATGTACAGTCAACAATATCAAAATCTGTTATTTTATGAAAAAATTCTAATTTTTTACGTCTTTTTGTCGGTACCCCATCATCGTTACCCAAACTTTCAAAAGGTGCTGGATTCAATTCAAAATATTCAAGAGCAAAACTGAAAATTCAGTAATAGCAATTGAATTAAGAAATTCAGTATAGATTAATAATATAAATTATTTATTAACTATCAACTTTGTTGAGCATTACTTACCTCAAAACATCAGGATGAATTAAAATCAACTTTCCTATTACAGTGCAATTAGTTTGATGTACTAAGTCTGCTGTAGCTCTATCAGATTTTAAATCTTGATCTTTCTTAATAGCACTTGTAAGTAAAATGAGCAATAGTTGTGGAAAATGCTCTGATACATCTCTAGCGTACTCTGGATTCATCAAAAGATCACAAAGCAGCTCTAAAATTGCAGTTTCATTTTCATGAGTCAAATCCTGTAACAATATATATTATGTTGAAAAATTTTATTATCAATAAAAAACTCATAAGAATATTAAAATATTAGCTTTTTGTAAAACTTACCGTGAGTTCGAGAAATGTAACGAACTTTTGAGAATAAACATCCCGCTTTTGGCAGAAATTTTTTAAGCAATTAAGTAACATTTTATATGCTATAAAATAACTAATTTCGATACTTATTAATGAAATTCATTTGTAATAATGTATAACGTCAATTTTTCAACACCACTCTGATCTTATGCTCTCGAAAGCCTTCCGTATTATGGCATCAACTATATCAGAAAAGGTTATGTCATTAAACACGTGCACGCGCTAACTACTCTGTGGCCGCTTGCCGCTTGAGGAGAGTCGAGAGACGCTGAGCCGGTTGTCCGCCGCTTTACCTCGGCTCAGTCCGATATCCAATCGCATTACACTTTGCTTTCGATCTTTGAAGACAACCTTGCTGTTACCATTAATTGTTATAGAGACAAAGAAACACGTTAATTTTTTAAACATATCACGCTGGAAAATTCATTTGTTTTATAGATCTATTTTATCTACTACATAAAATACAAGAGTAAGTATTCTATTATAATATCAATATTTATTTCTTATATCAGTCAAAGCACATGTTTAATGGTTTGTGAATCAACGTTCAAATAAATGTTCTCGACTGAACTTTGCAATTGAACTTAAATAAAAGAGATAATAATTGAAGAATGAATTATTAATTCTTAGATTCATTGTTTTTTTCTGCTTAATAAAGATCGTAAATTTTTGGTTAGATTCCACCATGATATACTTAAATGTTATTAAACTAATAAGAAATCGTAGCTACGACTTTGATATTTTGAATATTTATTAATAATATAATTAAATTTGTAAATATTACGATTAATTGACCTTTAATACTTTCAATTTAATGAAAAATAATAATTAATGCAAAAATATTGAACTCAAACTAAGTTCAACGATTAAATAATAATTATATATTGCTATAAATTGTTATTTTAGATCATGTTTAAGGTAAAAAGAGTAGACAGACCAAAAAAACCTAGAAGAACATCTCTTGAAATAGAAGAACAAAGTAGAACTTTGTATGTTCGTATACCCCATACAATAAAAAATGTTGATGAAATTAAAAATTTATTCTTTGGGGACATCAAAGTCAAATTACCTCGACAGTCTTCAAGGCATTGTCATGTTATATTCTCCACTGTAGATGAAAAAATAAAGAATTTGAAAGCTGTCAAAAAACAATTGATTGATGGAAAGCCTATCTTTATTAGTCCACCAAAGCCAATGAATTTGGAAAAGAAACCAAAACATAAAAAAATTAAAATTCCTGATCCAACAGCTGGATCCAAAACAGAGAAATAGTAAATAATTCATAGTATAATTCATTGTTGAAATAATATAATATTATAGTTACTAAGACAAAGTCTTTTTTACAGCATTTTTATTTCAAAAATACCACCTGGTGTAAAAGCTTCAGAATTAAGGGAAGCATTTCCAGGATCAGTGACTGTTGCATTACTGAAAGGTTTGGTGAATGGTAAAAGGTATTTATAATTATGTTGTTATTTATATTTTTTGTAATATAAGAAACATCTAAGAATATTAATTAACAAATTTTAGGAATGCCAAAATGAAAATGTCTTCCCCTCAACTATGTTTACATTACTCTAAGAAAGAAAATTGGCCAATAGTGAAAGAGCAAAAAGTTTCTGTGTATATTGCAAATAAACCAAGCAGCAGTAAAAATAGAAAACGAAAGAAAGTAGAATCTTTGAAAAAACACAATGAAAAAAAGGATCAAAAAGAGCAACCTATAGTGAATGATAGTGATTCTAAGAAGACAGATTTAAGTGAATCAGATGAAGATGAAGTTAGCGAAGAAGAGGATGAAAATACAGAAGAAGATGAAGAAGAACCATCCAGTGAAGAAAAATAAGAAATATATTTTATTAGATACAATTGTAAGATACTTATAGTTGTTTTTAGATTTTATTACTTTTTATTTCAAAAGTTTGCACTGAATTTAATAATTGTGTACAAAATAATTGTAATTTATTTTAAGTATATCACTGTTATAAAATGTGTTATTTCATAATTGAATTCATCTCAGCTTGAGTTTATCACAGCTTTTTTTATGTTGTAACTTTAACATTTGTATGAGTTGAAAGAAAAAATAAATAAAAATTTATGTGCTTAAAATAATGCTGCAACCTAAAAACAAGCTGAAAACTCCACTTAACGAAACTAAAAATTAGAAAATATAAATATTTAATTGAATTTGAATAAAATAATTGTAGTAATTAAAAAAAATTAATACATAACCCTAAATTAATCTCGATTTATTACAAAACAATGCCTCAAGAAAACAAAGAAGATTGAAATATTTAAACTTCCAGCCTTAAACTATGCAGCCTCGAAGAGTTTGTCGGTAATTGTAGCGGTGTGTACTTGGTGCTTCGCAGTCAGGTAAACAATCGCACTGTGGATCACGCAAAATCAGCTAGCAGATTTCCGATATGATATGAGCTAAACAAAGGACATACGTCAAGTTGCAAAGTACATTAGATCGTTCATTGTTGATGGAGTAAAATGGATTGTAATTGCATAAATTTTGAATCACTATTCTGAAAACTTATGTAGCATCTCTTGAAGTAATAGGCATGTCCTTTTCCCAATGTTCTGAAAATTAAACGTCGAGGAAATAATAATCTAATGAATATTTGATAAAATATTACGTTTAGTACCATTGATATTTAAATAAAAATGATACATGATATCCGCAAATGCGAATCATGTTACCAAAGATCGCATTTATTTAAATAATAGAGATATGCATTTTCCGAGAACTAATTAAATTTCAAATAATTTCCCTGTGAGCCATAGCTATTTAAAACTATTCATTACTGCTGATCAGATAAGTGCCATAAAGTTCGATAATTATCTCGTATCTAGCCCCATCCGCATAAATTCCAAAGCGTTCGGCTCGGGAACCGTATACTTATCGTGTATAAGAAAGCCATCTCCAAATTTTATCGAGGCAATGCGATCACTTATGTTGAAGGTTTTAACAGCTCATACAAAAGGTAACGCGTGCCAAATTTCGCTTTGCTTAAGTGTTGCTCTTTTCCTGGATTTCTGTATATGCTGTGAATAATTATTTCATGTCGATCGATACAACTATAACAAAAATCAACAATTAATAAAATCCCTAAGTTTTCATTGACCATGTAATTGAACGAACAGCAAACATCGGTATGAGAAACTTATCGCAATCTTCAGTCTGCCTATCATAGATGCAAGTGAGTAACAATTTACTGCCATTTGATGACAACTGTGCGAGAAGTTACGGTAAATTCATGCGATTCGCATCGTCAAGTTCCGTCGAAAAATGATTCAATGGATAAACTATCTCGTGCAAGTGCTGAAGACCTTCGGCGAAGTCCATGACCAGGAAGCCTCAAGGTATGAATCTTCAATGCATTATCAAATTAATCATTGATTAGCACGTCGATAAAGTTAAGAGAATAATGTTTCTTAAATAATGATGTTTTTTTGAAAAATACATATTTTACAGATTATTTCAAGTTAACATTTTGAGAAATCCGAGAATGCATTTGAAATAAATTAGATTGAAATTAAAAGTTACCTCTTCCGCCAACAATAATACAATTAAATTAATGCTGACATAAAAAATTTATATTTCTAGAACTCAAGATCGATTCTGCACATCAATATGGTTGTAGTCGCTTTGTACCTACGAGATTTCTTTGGCATAATGTGACCGCAAGTACAGTGGTTTTCAACGATGAATATTGGTTTAAATACCACGGTCAGCCACCTGTTCGCTGATAAAATTTATTTGCGGATTGACCGGCAGACACCAGCTATATTATCACGACATATAACCATAGGGATCTACTACGATGTCATTTGTGATGTTAACTACTGCAAGATGAGTTCGGCACATTATTTCTACATACTTGAATTTTTATAATAAAACTCAACGGTATTTAAAAAACGATAAAGCAAAGTAATGTCAACCTAATGCCATCTATAGATAAAACTCATTGATTAATTAATTTAAAAACTTTAAATTAATTAAATATTCTTGAAACTAGTATCTCCATGCGCTATTTATATTAGACTGACACTGACTGATAGAAATAAAAAATCGATACAGCTATCGATTATTTTATATGTAGAATAATTAAACTCAGAGGTAGGATATACACACGAAAGTATATATTGAAAACAGAGAAAATAAAAAGTAATACAGAGAGAGGTTGTTCAGGCAATGCATCAGTTGAAACCATCGATTCACATGCAAATTCCTCATGAACTTGCACCAGCGTATGCAGAATTTCTTTAAACAGAACAATTTTATCTGATTATCAACTAAATTTCTTTCCCTCGCTTCATTCCTGAAAGTCATTTATTTAAATCACGACAAACATCTTTAGACAAAATCATTCGACAAAAAGTTCGACATTGTACATAGAAAACTACGTGTTATATCGCAACGGTACGCCGACTATTCATTACTTATCGACGTGCCTTGACGTTGACCATCGCGTGTCTGCTTACGTTGCACACATTAATTGCACGTTAATTGTACGTCCGCACGTCTTTCAATTTTTATTTTTGATTTGTATCTAATATATAAGAAGCCAATATTTGATTATTGATAAAAACTACGTAGATCGATCCAAAATATTTAAAGTTTTTCGTGTAAAACATTAAAATGCTTCTGAGATTCAGCAAATCCGAAAGTAATTGGACCAGCTATTGACGAGATAATTTTTCGCGCATATCTTTGAAACGACTTAAACCGATTTCAGTATAGGAGTGGACTCGTTTGAAATAGTGGGTGATTCTTGACAACTTCGATTGGCTCAGAAACCCTCGGTCACGGATTCTTTCCAGATTTTGCACAATGAAGTTGTTGTACACATTGAAGTGAATTTGCTCCCACATTTTCTTATCGAAATATTTAGTATATCAAAAGTTATTAACTATTACGGAAAAATGATAAACAATTTTCGAACGGTTATATTTCAAAAACTAATAAAGATATGGAGGTCAAACTTTTTTACAAAATACATGTAATATCTTATAAACTTTCTAAATAATTACAATTAAAAATAGTTCAAAATAGTTTCAAAAGTTATGAACTATTATTTTAAACAATGACAAAGAACTCAAAAAGGAGTGCTTTTTAATTCTTACTTCGATTGATTCCTGAGGGTTCTTACTATAGAAATCAGTCATTAAAAATTCAAGTGTCCGACATATCAAAAGATATGACACCAATTAAAAGAAGACACTTAAATATTTCCGACTTTAAAAAATATACCATATTTTTGTATCAATACTATTAATATGCAAAAAACATATGGTCTGAAATTTTTTTTGTAGATTTGGTTTGCCGCAATTATATTTATTGCTTTCGATTGTTAATATATCTATTACTTTGATCGATATTGCTTAGGTCGATAGCCGAGTATTTAAAAAAATATCATCAAAATCGATTGCAAATTGCGATATGCATGAGGATTTTGAGAAGAAAAGACGGAAATATACCTCTGTGTTTTACAAGCGTATATGCGCTTAAATGGTTTTTTTTAGTTGGTGCCACGCCTTCTGATACATCAGGCGCTTAAATTATATGACTGATTTCTATAAAAATAACTCTCAGGAATCCGTTGAAGCAAGAATTTAAAAAAATACTACTTTTTTAGTTATTCGCAATTGTTTAAAATAATAGTTAATATAACTTTTGAAACTACTTTGAACTATTTTTTGTTATAATTATTTAGAAAATTTATAAGATGTTTTCCTTGATAATAAATAACTTTTGATATAATGAATATTTCGAGAAGAAAATGTAGGAAAAAGTTTACTTCAATCTGTACAATTGTGCATAATCTAAAAAGAATCCGTGACCAAATCTTTCTGAGCCTATCGAAATAGTCAAAAATCACCCATATGTTCCTGGAAATAATCCGATTTCATCAGTAAATTGATTGAAGCACAACTTTACAAGTAATTGCAACAAATTTTGAAGTTGACTTTAATACCGTTCGGTTAGTAGAATGTAAAGCCGTCGACTAAGTACACGAACCTGCCTCACTTGTCATATACGTCCAACTCCCAAGGTGCAGACTATAGTATTGTAAACTGTATTTGAATATAATCTAATACTTTCTTTCTTGTTGATGCTGTACCATAAACCTTTATAATATGCAATAATAAATAACAACTATCCTTATTCTTTTCGTGTTCATTGACTTGAGTCCTCAAAGGACGCTTGGTTTTACCCATGTATGTTGCGTCATCATTCATACAATTTATTTTATATATTACGTTAATTCTCTTTTTTTTTGGCGTTACGTCTTTTCCCGATCTTACGAAATAGTTTTATTAACCAATATTCAATGATTTTAAAAGTGAATCTATCATTACTTGTTTTTTTAATGCGTCAATCGTTTCAAAACTAAGAAAACTTCATCTTGTCAAGGTTGTCATTTTCTAATTTAAATTAACATAGAGCGCTTCTTCAGAAAATCGTAAAACTTTGATAAGATAAAGTTTATTTTGTTCTGAAGCAACTAATGCATTAAAAAAACAGGTAACGGTACTTTTACAAAAGTTATTAACAAAAATGTGCTTAAACATCGATATCTCAGCACTATGTCGATTCTTTTTCCTCCTACTAAATCACTTCTATAATTTTCTTCAATCTATATTAAGACTTCAAATTTGTTACACATATTCTTGGAATATTGATAAATAATCTAGTATTTTTATAAATTGATTATTGGAAAATTTGTAACAGATTTAACGATTCAAATTACTTATTTATAATAATAACTTTCGAGATCATAATTTTTTATAAACAATCAAAAATATTTATCGGTTTATAGAAAAGACTATCAGAAACTTTACGCTTAAAGAAGTTTTCCCAAGTTTTTTCTCTTTAATCCATCTGTAACTTTCAAAGTGCGATCGAGTTGAACTAATGAAACGCTATTTTTTCGTTGCGCGGAGCCCTTTTTGACAACCGCTGAGCAAAAGAACATCTTTAACATACTGCCATTTAATGATATTAGGCTGATTTAAAAAGCCACGCAGCAAATATGATTTAAAAAAAAACTGACAACAAAGTACCTCATTCAAATGCAATCTTTTCGCTGATTTTGCTATAATCGTATGTGGCGCGCGTGCAGATTTTCTTAATTAAATTTCTACGCAGCGCCGCAGTGAGGCGCATATAGGCTTCAAAGGCGCCGACAGTGAACAGATTCGCGCTTATGTGAATATATATATATATATATCTACATCATGAGTGCGTAAGGATACCATACACACACACACACTCTCTCCTTTTCCCTCTACTCACATGAACACATGCGTATATATAGTATCCAAACCACCAATGAATACTATATATGTGTGTGTGTATATATATATATATATATATAGTATCCATACCATCTTATCTCATTCTCCGAGTTATTTTTTTCTGTTCGATTTGCCTTGATGTTCTATCGCGCTCATTAATCCATTAACATACTTTAACCATTACATATCACAAAAAAATCAACAGAGGATTCTCGGGGAATATCTGTTCATTGGGATGCGCGCGCGCCTCCACCTACACACACGTGGATGGCACTAGAAGAGCCGTACAACTGACGACGTACGTACAACTTTCTGTCAGCTTAGATAAGAGGAATAGATAGCGGCAACAGAAAGAGGGAACTGCTTTTTACTACACCGCGGCTCTGCTCGAGCACAACAAGAATAAAAAAGCCGAGCACTAGTGTCAATCTCTGCACAAACACAATCAAGCAGTGTATATATAGTACAGTTTGTCGTTTGACGGAAAAGACGCCGTCGTACGAGAATCAGAGAAAGAGAGAGAGAGAGAGAGACACACACACACACACACAGCAGAGACAGAGAGTGAGTGAGGCACGAAGAGGAGGTGATGCCGGGGCGTGATTTCCTCGTTCGACAGATAGTTATATCTCATCTCGGTTAACCTATTCAAGTATGCTAACAAACCAGCCTTACGAGAACGTCAACACCACCACTATCATCATCGCGGCTACCTGTACCACTGACGACGTCGAGAACGACGACGACGACGAGGACGCCGAACATCCTTATTGCATTATTCATGTGCTACTCAATGACTGATGCTTTCAACGCAAGACTGACAGATCCTCTTCCACATAGTTTTAGTCAGTGAATAGGTAACGCTTCGTGTTGACTCTTTCTATTCTGTCTCTCAATACTTGTCATTACGTAGTTCGTCATCATCTTGAACTTCAAAGAGTTAGTATATAGGTATTTTATTTTCAGACTAATCGTTAGAACTTGCGTATTTTCGCGATTTTCAATGTAATTCACTTTTTGATAATAGTATTTGTTCATTTTTTTTCTCTTCATTAAATATAATACGTAAGAACTATTCAAACATTGCATTTGTACATGCATTGATTTTTTTAACCATTCAAAAAAATGATTATGCGGTTTCCTTCTGCCTAATCATTAGCATTTACCGCTTACACTATGCTATAACATACAATTTGAATAACTTTAAATTTTAAAATACTTTTCTCAAGTTTTTTTTTAATGTGCTTACAGCTATTAAAAATAAAAGTATTATTTAAAATTACTTTAAACTTTAATAACTTTAATTATGCTTGAACTGTTATCAGTAATAACTAAATGTCATTGATGACAATGTTTGAATATTTATTAATCTGTGACTGGAATTTATAGGTAAATACACATGCAGTTGACTGCAGTCCAATTACTAACCTATCATTGTACTAAATTCAATAAGACTAATAAATGTTGAAACTGAATTATCTTTAAGAAGGTCAGTACTTTGACGCAATTGACTAGTCCATCAATTACTTTATTGCCTTGATGCTGCTATAGTATATTATCATACTCAAATGTGTGATTATTATACATCATATTTCAATGTTATCATGTGGACTTTGAATATAGTTAATTAATTGGTCACTTTTCTGGGTAGTTTTATTAATCAGTTATTTCCTTTATTTGAATAATAAACATTTGTGATTATATATAATTGTTAATTTCATCTATTAATTGTCAATATAAAAATTTATTTTCAGCTTGATGATGATATCAATAGAAACTTTAATTTAGACTTGGTGTTATCCAAGTAAAAAATCTAGAAGTGGCATACAATGCGTATCCATGAAGAGTTATGGTGGCTGTTTCGAAAGAAAGATGTGTAGAGTTAACTATTGTGCATTGCCATAGAACTAAACATGCAAGCAAAAAAGCGTTACTTACTTGTCTTTCTGACTTGCGCTTTTCTTGCCTTTTGCTATTTTGGAGGTTATCGATTAAAAGGAGAGAAGAGTTCAACCAAAAAGTTGACAGCTGATGATTTACCCTCCTTCAATGTTTATGATCCTAACTGGAGAACAAAGCAAGAATTAGAATACACAAAATCTTTAAGTCAATCACCCATTCCTCCAAATTTAAGACAATGTGATATGAAAACATGCTTTGATTTTACTAAATGTAGAGAAGGATATACTGTTTATGTGTATCCTATCGAGGATGCCATCAGTCCACTATACCAAAAAATATTGAATGTCATCACGGAATCCAGATATTATACAACGGATCCAACAAGAGCTTGTTTATTTGTTTTAGCTCTAGATACGCTTGACAGAGATCCTTTATCGACTGAATTTGTACATAATCTACCAACAAAACTCGCACGTTTGCCATATTGGAATAATGGAAGAAATCATTTAATTTTTAATTTATATTCAGGCACTTGGCCTGATTATGTAGAAGATGCTTTGGCCTTTGACTTTGGTTATGCCATGATAGCCAAAGCAAGCATGTCCAAGTTCAAATTGAGAGATGAATTTGATGTATCCATACCACTTTTTGCTAAGCAACACACTGAAAGGGGTGGAGAACCTGGTCAGGCACTTCACAATCAATTCCCTGGTAAAAAGAAGTTTTTAGCAGCTTTCAAAGGTAAAAGATATGTTCACGGCATTGGATCTGAAACAAGAAATGCGCTCTATCATTTACATAATGGAAAGGATATCATATTTGTAACTACTTGTCGGCATGGAAAATCTTGGAGGGAATTACAAGATGAACATTGCCAGGAGGATATTCGACTATATGATATGTAAGTTGAAATGCTTATGATAAGTTTACTTTTATTTAATACTTCAAAAAAACCAATCAATGCTCATTAACTATGTATATTTTTAGGTACGACTACGACGTTCTTCTTCAGAACTCAACATTTTGCCTGGTTCCTAGAGGTCGTCGACTTGGTAGTTTTCGATTTTTAGAAGCCTTAAGAGCAGGATGTATCCCTGTTATTTTAAGCAATGGATGGGCTCTTCCATTTCATGAACACATTGATTGGTATCAAGCAGTCATTTTTGCAGACGAACGACTCCTCTTTCAAGTGAGTTTCTTAAAAACTACATTATAAATAGAACTTTGAATAGCTTGTAATCTCAAGAATCCAAATAAATTTCAGTTTAAATGAAACGTGAATAATTGTTAATACGATATAATTTTCAGGTGCCAGATATTCTTAGATCTGTACCAGATACGAAAATTTTTTCATTAAGGCAACAAACTCAATTTTTATGGGAGAGGTATTTTTCGTCGATAGAAAAAATTGTATTCACCACATTTGAGGTAACTATACCTAAGTTTTATCGTAAAATTTTTATTTATAACACTAATTATTGATTTTTACTGTTCAATAGGTCGTTCGAGAGCGCATTCCTTGGGAAGGTCATAGAGAATTACGTGTTTGGAATCGACATCCAGGTGCATTGGCAATTCTACCAAAATTTGCGGATACTCAACAAGAACTCCCGTTTCAAGAATGCAAACCTGGAAACGCTTTTACAGCCGTAATTTATTCACAATTAGGATCCACTGCAGTACTCTTCCGGTTATTAAAAACTCTTTCGAAAAGCCAATATTTAGATAAAGTTAGCATTTTTAATATTGCAAATAACGTTTTTTAATAAATTAAAAATATTTTAATCGAGTGCTTTTGATATTTTCCATAGATCATCCTGTTGTGGAACTCTGACATTCCAATACCGAGGAAGTCACGATGGCAGGGTATTAAAGCGCCCATCCACGTTATTCCAGCTACAGGCATATCTCAAAGATTCTACCCACACCCTCAAATAGAAACTAGTGCCATATTTTCTTTAGACGAAGACGTAACATTAAATACTGATGAAATTGACTTTGCTTTTGTCGTTTGGAAAAGCTTTCCCGATCGCATCGTCGGATATCCGGGAAGATCCCATTATTGGGATGACTCAAAAGTAAATTCAACTAATAAATCATTTTTTATTTTCTTTGTCAAGCTACACTGCCAATGTTTTTTTTTATTTCCGTTTTAAAAAAATATATTGACTTTTCTTTTTAAAGAATGTGCACAAATTTTTAGAATATTTTATGAATATGAGCAAAAAAAATTGTGTATTAAATTCTTTTTAACTTCCGCCACGATAATAAATATTTTACTCTTTTGATTTATTCAATGAAATAAAATGACATGTTTTTTGCTTGTTTTTGTAGCGGTCATGGGGTTACACAAGTAAATGGACAAACGATTACAGTATGGTGTTAACAGGAGCTGCTGTATATCATCGTTACTATAATACGTTATATACCGAAACTTTAAGTTCAACGCTTCACAAAACTGTAGAACAATCTCAAAATTGTGAAGATATTTTGATGAACTTTTTAGTGAGCCATGTTACTCGTCATCCTCCTATCAAAGTGACACAGCGTAAAATGTATAAAGATCCAAATGCTGCTGGGAAAAAGTAAGTCATTTCACTTTACTTGAAATGTTAGTAAACTAAATTATTTAACTCGTCCGGGAAAGTAGAGTCTGGTTTTGTATGAGGTTTACACCCGAACTCCGCTTTGCTTGAGTGTAAATGAGAAAGAGACGAGAATCTCTTTCTTGAACCTATTACGTACGGTATTTTTTTAAAACATGTGGAAATAAAGAATATTAACGCATGTTTTTCACTGAGCATGCGGCAAAGTTATACTTTCCGCACGATGTATTGAAATAAAATTCTTTAGCTCTGCATTAAATATATAGAGTATATTTATATTTATTTAATTTTCAGGTCGCCTTGGAATGATCCAGATCATTTTACCCAGCGGCAAACGTGTATGAATACATTTGTCGCAGTTTTCGGTTATATGCCATTACTGCGATCGAACATGAGACTGGACCCTGTACTTTTTAAGGACCCTGTAAGCAACCTGCGTAAAAAATATAGACAAATTGAATTAGTTGATAACTAGAAATATATATCCGTTTGATTAACGAATATGTAATATGTGGTTAAACGAAATGACGTTAAACGAATATGTATGTTTATTGTAAGATTATGCGTGAAGCGAGCGAATTTCATAAGATTGTATAACAATATATCAAATTTATGGCCGTGTCATTTATTGGTAGTTCAGCGAGTCTATGAACAATTAGAACAAATGTATAGAAAAGATACATGCAAGTATCCTTAAGAACAATAATTACATAGATGTTAAAAATTACGATATAAAATTATAAATTATTAAACACATCACGTGAGCTTCGGATCTCTCGCGCTAGATCGACCACGACGAATCGTATTATATGGAGAAAAAAAAAAGAAAATGATATTTTTTGTGATTGACTAATTGTGCTCGCACATCTTTTTTACATTTTTGAATGACTTTAAGCGCAAAATGTCAATAATTTTTACGAGTTAATTGCTCATTAGACTTAATAATAATTGTTTCGTCCAAAAGTTATCGCGCAAAGCTCCAAACGTCCTTACCATATCAATATAATTAACGAGCGACACTGCAGTACAAATTTGACAAAGAACGAAAAACATAATAACGATATCAACAAATCGAATGACAGAATAAAAAAGAAAAACCAAAATAGGAGATCCGACGTTAAAGCCGTGGGTGATACTTTACCAAAATGTAATCGCGCGTCATGCAGCTATAAAGTGTGTACATAAATAATCCGTTTGATAGTTATTAATGTAGCAATATTGTTTGACAGAAAAAATGAACATGTGCGAGAGTGAGTGCCTTTCTAAAATGCCATCGTTCCGCCAAGTCCTTTCATGCGACGACAGAACCCGGATGTCCTTGCCCTCGTGAATTCCCCCATCCTTTCTTCACGTTCTCGGACTTTTGTTTTCGTTCAAGCTCGTCAAGGTTAATGGTGTCAACGATTATTATTGACGAATACAAATCTATTTCATTCCTTTTTTCTGTTTTTTTTTGTATATTCGACCTGTCGTTGCTTTTTTTGTATATTCGACGAAGAAATATTATATCATTCCACACTTAAAATCATGCTAGCGTGGAGATTGCCATATAATTAGTTTTACTAGAGAAAAAACACTTAGGTTTTTACGTATATAGATAATTTAATACGGAATTACGTAAAAGGCCATAGCTTTTCAATTGTATTATATTGTACTTCGAAAATTTTGTACATGTAGCATTATCAAACGTCTTTTTTTGAACGTTTACGTGCAATTTATTTTTTATTGTTGTATACTGTTTGTTACAAGTAAATTTTACAAAAAATATAATTTTATTTAATTGGTCAATGTACTTGGAAATATGTATGTCTTCTTTTCTCTCTTTAATTTCCTGTCGAAAAACTATTAAAAAATGTAGTCATGATAACTTCATGATTATTTAATCATAATTGAGGTGAGTTAAACATTGAACACTTGATATATTTTCCAAATAGTAAATACAGATTTAAGGAAACTTTTAACATTTTTTAATATTATGTACGAAAGAAATTTATTGCACTCAACTGTCGTACTTTCTTTTAGATTCGATTAAAATATACGATTTGTGAAAATATATATTAATTGATTATACGTCTTATTAATCGATTATATCTTGAAATTTGGAGACACCCACATATCCGAACAGAAATGGTATGCGAGCCGTGCATACAAGTGAAAGTAAATGAGAAAAAAAGTAGCGTGTTACGCAGATGTGTGTCATGATGAAATTTGGATCAGCCGATCGACCACATCAAATAAAAATATAATATATTTCAAGTTTTTACTCGAGCGGTTACATAGATTAGATAAATGTTACGTGGAATCTATTTCCATATAAAAATCACCTTACTAAAGTTGTACTCCCACTTTGATTTCATAATGTATTTCAAAACTCGAAATACATTATAAATTAAAAAAAGAAGTGATTGTCTTTTTGAGATTCTGCGTAGCAACTGTATCCTTTTCACCCTCGCAAGCAACCTCTACCAAAATTTACAGTAAAACGTGATTGGTATCGTTATGTCCTCATTTTAATGCTATATAAAATTACCACTAGTCGGAAGCTCCTCATGAACCAAAGACAAAACAATGTTCGTTTTATTATTATATTGGAATCTTTTACTTTATCCTATAAGTGCGGGAAAGTCTATTTTTGCATCGTGTGGCGTTTATGCCCGCGCTCTATTTTTATGCAACGCATACGATGTTCGATTATGAGCGCACGCTCGGCCAAAAATGTACTCGCTTCGCTCGAGTGTAAACGCTATACGACACAACAATCTGCTTATTCAACGCGCCGTGAGGAAAGTACGACTTTGCCGCACGCTCGGCAAAAAAAAATGCCCTGAAATCGTCGCTCTCCAGGCGTTGTTTTGAAAAATATCGTATATAGCTAATATATTCGACAAAGAGATTCTCGCTCCGTGTGCCTTTCGTAGTAAACCTTACACGAGATAAAAACCTACATTCCTACACCAGTTGTAGGTAATGTACTATTGCCGCACTTGTATCGTACGGTGTTTTTTGATACGGCGTGTGCCAAGTACAATTTCGAGTGCACGGGACAACGTACGGGAAAGTGGTACTTTGCGCGCAGACTGTCGAAATCAGGGTGGGTGAGAATACAAAAAATCGACAAAGAAAATTATTACCAAAGTACGCAAACAACTTTAAACAAATGCTCAGTAGTTGCTTTAAATGGCGTTTCACGTATTTTAATAATAATTATTAAAGCGAAGTAAAAATAAACTAATAAATAATAATGGGACAACAAAGCACTGCAATTTCAGCAAGGTAACAAATGATCTAGCTTTGAAGTTATCAACGCGTAAATTACTTACCTCGAAAGCGCTTAACAACTAATAAATCCGGAAAGCGTTTGCTTATATCACATTAAATCCTACAATACGACTTACTCTAGTAACGACAACTGCTCCATTTCACGTCGAGAATAGCGGTCAATCAATCAAATTTATTTGATATTAAATTCTCGTTTGGAAAAAAAGAGCAGTTTATAATGATATAATCAGAAATCAATTATTCCTCAACTGCCATTTCATTCCTCCAACTGATTCGAGCGAATGGGATGCTGGATAATGTGCGCATAAAAAGTATATACGCTCGATTAAAGCGCTACTATGTGCCAAACGGGCTCTGAAAAAAAAGACCGGTGAAAAAATAATATGCGGCCGAAAGTTGGGCGTGTCACAATGACATAAGCGACAATTGGTTGATGAAACGACGGAGATAAAAGAGAACGAGGACAACTCTGGTTTGGATTATTATTACATATGTATGCAACATGTGCGAGCAAGAGAGAGGCATGCATATACGAAAGCGTAAATGTTCGAGCGCAAGAGCGAGAATGAGTTATGAGCTTGGCAAACACTTTAAAGGAACTTTAGTTGTGATGTATGAGCTGCTATACTTTAGGGCTCCTTCGTAAAAGTTTGTCTATTTTTCCTTTTTTTTTTATGGAGCAGCGATTTTGCGCAAGATTTTGAAATATTATGGAGTATGAAAGTCTTTGAATAAATTTACCATTTTTTCAATAGAGTATAAAAATTTGCAAAAAATGTCCATTCATCGAGACTGTAATTTTTTTGGCGTTCGACAATAATTATATTATACATTTTATGCATTGCAATTAGATTTCGTACGCGCCAAACACTTCTATCAAATCAATTTTCATTCAGAGTATTAAAAATGCAATATAACGAGCATTTATTAAAAAATAATCTATAATTGTAAAAATGTGTCTGATGAAATTTGAAATACATTAATCAAATGTAAGCTGTCCCTGACCGATGACAAGACCACCACATTTCTAGGCGCTGTCATTTGAAATAACCACATATATTACCATCGCGATGCTTGAAGGTCAACTAAAAATATATTTTCGTAAACATGCGACTGTTGCTCAAAATTTTGATCGAATGTTATATAAAATATCTGTGTGATGTGATAAATACAAATGTTTAAATTAGTACATTATAATTTAGTGTTAATAAATTCTTTTTAGTGATCAGATTCTGAATATATTTGCGCGTTTAAATGTTTAAATTAGTACATTATAAATAAGTGTTGATAAACTCCTTTTAGTGATCAGATTCCGAATATATTTGTGTGATTATACGGCTGTACAAATCTTTTGATGGGAAATAATTGAATTCCAAAACGTCTGTTGGGCAAAATTGCCACAACTTTTTGGTATCAAACAGTTTGGTTCAGCTATAAGCAGGTATTGGAGAGATGAATTATTTGGAGCTACTCTCGGCCATTGAACGGTAATTTTCGGGACTCTAGAAAGACATACAAACAATAGTACTTGTGAACGAACACTAAGACAGATTTTGAGTGAATTGTACCCATTATAAGCCACGGACGTCCAAATTTTTATTAAATGTCTCTGCATAGTCATGTCATTCGCTGACTTGGTAGGCGACATCCTAGGATCTTTTATGACAAGGTGAATATCATCTCCGTGCGCAACACCTATGAAATCCACACTACTCGTAAGAATTGAACAAACATTAAATTGTATAACAATATTTCACCGAAATTCTGTTCTCTAAACGTCTGCCCATCGCTGAGACTCTCTTGCGCTCTGTAGGTGTGATAATAAAAAAATACCGGACTACTGTTAGCGGCCGCTTGTGCTTTGGCAGCGTTCACGGCTCCGACACCGAAGTGCCTGTCGCCAATCAACTTGGTCAAAGTGTGCAGAGTTTCAACGTTTATTGGCTGGTTGCCGAAATAATGTCGGCGAACGCGTTGAACCACGCTCTTGTGCTGTTCCTTCGGTACCGTGTACGAATAATCGAGTAAGACGGCTGCCACCGAGTTCCAATTCTTGTCCAGGCGCTGCAGAGTGTCTTGCGTGAATCCTAGAAGCGGAAACGGCAGTTAAAACGTTTGGGGCGACCGACGGGACGCGGCAAAAAATAAAAGAGAGAGAGAGCGCAACAACAGTACCTCGACTCACAGCCAGTCCTTCCTCGCTAACGACTCCAGTCACCCACGGCACGTCGTAAGCTTTACCTTGGCTCATAATGTCGCTGGGATAGTCGTCGATGAACGGATCGGCGCCGGATCTCTCGATCACGGGCCCAAAAAGAGGCGGCAGCCTTTGCCACAGCTAATCAAAATCAAATTGACGTCGTGTGGCGTCAACGTGGGCGCGCAACCCAAACCCATATAGTTGCGATTATGCGTACCTTCAGTTGTTTCTGAGCACTGACTAAGGCTTCGGCGGGCACACGCCTGAGGCATTCGACCAATTGTCCCATATCATCGTGAGTACATTTGAGCGCCTTAGCCAACGCAACGGTTTTAATGCGCGAGCATGCGGTCACTGCCGCGGGAATGTAAGCGCTGCCACTGAGAGATATACCGGCGTGAAATAGTCCGCGGCTCCAAGGCGACAAGTAGTGGTAGTGCACGCTGACTCCTCCGGCACTCGCGCCTATAAGTGTGATCTTGTCGGGGTTACCACCAAAGTGTTCGATGTTGTCGTGAATCCATCTGAGAGCCATGGACTGATCTTTCAAGCCCATGTTCCCCTGCACGACGTGGTCATCGGTGCTCAAGAAACCTAAGGATCCCATGCGATAGTTCGCCGACGCAAATATCACGTCGTAGTCGATCACGTACGACTCTTGGCCTTCCGCCGTTCTTCCGAATCGAAACGCGCCACCGTAGATGTAAAACAACACGGGCAATTTGACGGTAGGCTTCCTCTTGGTTGGCACGTAAATGTTCAAGTACAGGCAGTCTTCCGAGCCGACCACCGAATTGTTCTGCGGCGAGGGGGAATCTTGCAAACACGCGTCTTTTATTTGGGTAGCCTGTAGCTCACCCAACCAATTCTCAACGGCTACTGGTGGCTGAAATGCATCGTTATTTTAACAAAATCTTTTCAGCTCTATCGAGAACACCGATACTCACGCGAAATCGCCTTTCTCCGATGGGTGGTAATGCATAGGGTATACCTTGATACGCCTCATATATGTTATTTTGATAAGAGGTCAAATATTTGCCATGGATTTTTCCTGATTTTGTTGAAACTAGCGGGCATGATGATTCGTTCGACAAATGCTGCTTTAGTAACAAGAGCTTTAGAATGAAATCGGTGCAATTCATTTTTTTGGTAGTACAATACAACTTCTTGCAATGAATATCACTAATCGTTTATGATCAATTTGTTTTTATAAGGTTCGTTGTAAGAACAGTCGCAGAGAGACGCGACAGACGCGCGTATGATTTAACAGGATAATCGTGAATGTCACCGAGTTTTATGGTCGGTATATGTTAGTATTGTACATTTAGATAAGCTCGACGTAGACAATGCGGAGCGTAAACTGATAGAATCGCTATAATATAAGGTGCACTAAAATTTACTACAAAATATATAGTATTCGTGGGATATACTTAGATCATTATAAAATGTATTAAACCTTTACTAATTTCTACTATGGCCATAACAATTTTTTAGATGACGACATTGAAAAGTTTCTTACATAAATAATAATTTATATTACAATAACTATGTAATAACATGTTACAATATTACGTAATTCCAGTCATTAACGCGTGTACAGTAACCACTACAGCTTACTAATTTGATAATTCGCAGGGTCCACCTATAGATGGCGGTTCAATTCTCACAAGTGACAGAATAAATATTTGATTATTATATAGAAAAATATTAGTCTGAATCATGAATGTAAAAATGCTTGTCATTAAGAGGACAACGGAAAACAGCGTATAATAACCAACATATACTAATTTAGGTTATATTCCCAAGCATAATTCAAGATTATGGAAACTTTCAATGATAATTCGAATAAAAAGTAATATTTTAATTTAGTTTCCCGAAGCAGTAAAAATTTCTATGTATAAACATAGTTAAATTTACCGGGATATTTTGTTTATAGTAGTAATTACTATGGGTTTTAAATTTCACTATGTTATATAGTAAAATTTCCAACATTTAAATTTTACTATGTTCGATGTCAATTTTTACTAGAGTCAGAGTATATCCTACGATTACTATGTTTTGTAGTAATTTTATAGCACTGCGTGCCGTAAATCCGCTTGTACGCAATCTTTTTCCGTAGCGTTCAATAACGTAAGTGTTCAATAACGGCACCATTTTCTTAACGGCACAAACTCGTAATCAATCGTAATACTGAACGAAAATAGTATTTCCGTACATTTTCAAGTATCAAAACACTAAAATTATTTAAGTTATTCATAGCCAAATAAAAAAAAAAGTAACGCAATAAAAAGTTTCGAAAATTTCAGGTAATAACGTCCGTTTCAATTCTTTAATTTTGGATACAAAACAAAACTTTCCTTTCAACGTCAATATTTATTCATAATAAATCCAAATTGCAAGTATAATGTTTTTCGAAGAAAGTTAATAAACAAAAAGAAAATCTTTTCTTTTTTCATCATTGAAATGGTATCTAAGTAAAAAATATCTGAAATTACAATCATTTGCTAATATTACTAATAGCTTTCGTTATCAGTATAATGTGGTATAAATTGTTATCTTTTGCGTATGTTTTCAATGCCATACTCAAAAATAGATTACTTATTGGTCTTAAAACGAAATGACTTATCATCTGCTAGTGGTTATCAAAATAATATTATGACAGTTACTGTTATATAATTATTGTCATAAAATTTGAACTTGTCCATAATATACAAAATCAACTCAATTTTATATATATGTCTTATCACGACTGCATAACAATATCATCGGACAATGGGAAAAGATTTACACAACTCTGAGTTAGACTTCATTTTTTAATTTACTGAATCAAGATAGAGAGGTTGAAAAACAATTTTCTGCAGATGAAATCAACAAGCAAAACACCTAGAGAAACAATAATGAGGGGATTTTTAAGTTTGGTCATTTTTATCGTAAGGGATCAATTTTCTCATTTAGGTGTCTTTCTAACTTATGTAAAAACATGAGCATGAAAAAAATTTCAATAGATCCTGTAGAGTTGAAGAGGAATTTTGCAATTGTGTAATAAACAAATCTTATAAGAAAATTCGTAGATTAGAATAAGATATACGTTAAATTGTCAGTGTTACGCATTAAATTATTATATGTATCTAATATGGATGGGATCTTTTAAGCAATAAGTTTCTAATTTTTCGTTGTAGACACGTAAACATATAAATAATTTTCTTTTATAATACCTGTATAGTTTTGACATTGAATTATTGATTTTTAATAACTCGTTTAAAATATTGCTTTCACGATGTTATAGTTATCTTACGTAATAATTATTTAGTAACGGGGTAAATAGACTTCAATTTTATTAAACTCCATTTTAGATATTTATGCAAAAATATGTAGGTATTTCTGAATTATGATAGAATACTCCAAACATGCAATGTCTTTTTAAAATTTTTTTTCGAATTGATTATTTTATTAAAACTTTCTTGAAATAATTCTTGTTAATATTTCTCAAAAAAAAATCACACTTTTCATTTTCAAAATAATTTTATTTATTGTTAGTGATGTTTCAAATATAATTTTACCTCAATTCTGTTATTATTTCATACATTTATTTCTCGAGTCTCTAAAGTTGTATTCTTCAACAATAAAATTTGCCGTCAACGAAATGTAACTCGCATATGTATACATTTGATTCTCAAACGCTTCACAACGTTACTAACTTTAACTATAATGGATATTTTGCAGTAATCATATTCTTTTTTGCTATTTACTGCTATAAATTAGATATAAAAATAATCGGCATCATAACAAACACGAGGTTTATATGCGATAAATTCATATTTAAGAACAGTAACAGCATACCTTTTTCGCGGAACGTTCGAAATAGCTTTTACTCGTTTCGAATGGAATGACAAGCATATAATATCTTGCTCTCGCTTTCGACTATTTACTGTAAAAATTTGTTATTGTTCAACTATTCGTGACTTTAGTGTTTCTACGTGCAGCCATTATCGGCAAGTATGCCACGTATTTTTTAAGCGTCGAACGAAAATATTCGATAAGTATTATAAAAAACAGGAGCACTAAGAAAAATTACTTGAAAATTAGCCATAGTGATTTACAATTTTCCTTCGCTGAAAATTATCATAGCGTATGGGAATTTGAAACTATAGAGCCCTCCCGTAGTAAAGCAGCCTTATCCAAAGCCTATAATCATCGATCACCATTCTTTGGCAAATATGCAATGTGGGAACAGCAACACGTGCGACATAGCCGAATATTCATTCGCCCGTCCCTTCTAAACGTGTTAACTTTATGTAACGTAATTTTTTATTCGCCAAGTAAAACTTTGGCGTTATTAGAAATAATTAAAGCTGACTCGTCGACGGTCTCTTTTTATCGTCATTGTCGTCTAAGCTCATTAAGTATTCAACGAAATTCCTCCAAACAAAACCAGACCCCCCAGACGAAAAAAAGTGTATGAAAAAAGGGCATGATGCGAGAGAGAAAGAAAGAGCGAGTGAATGGTTTTCTCATAGGTCTTAGCGTCCCACGCTGCGGACAAACGAGACACGCGCCTTGCAGCCTCGTTGGCGCGGAATATCAGTTACGAAAGCTGGAGCGAAAAAAAAAATTGCATATCAATCTCATTCTCGTTCATTCTCGCTTTTCGTTACACGATCAAATGCGCGCATGTTGCTTCAATTTTGATTTTAACGACTTTTGCTTGACTATTCCACGTATCATTTGAGCGTATCGATTAATTTTTTTCATATGATTCAATTTACAATTACTACTGAAATGCTGGGGATTTTTGAAATAACATTCGACAAATGTACAATAATTTAATATATTTTTCTTCGTTTATCGTAGCTTTACAGTGTGATTGAATACAAAATTTTTAATGTCAACAGCTAACTAATTAGTAATAATAATCGGAAATAATAATCGGAAATGGCAATCCAAGTGTTTGGCTATTTACAAAAAATATATGTATTCTTATTTGTGACTCAATTTAATTATTCTGGCTTCATTCTTCATAGCTGCTGCTTTTTACTTTTATTTCCTGAGTTTTGGAGAATGTATTTTATAATAAACGAATTCCAATTGTAAAATTTTAACTCTAAATTTACATAGAACTTACATCTAGACCCAAATACTCGTGTATACCCGTTGATCAGAATCGTTGTAAACGTTATTAAAAAGGGCTATATCCATAAAATTTACAGCAATAACAATAGCTCTCGTTAGGTAACGTTTGCCGCGAAAATTCAGTCGTTCTCAATGAAATAATAAGTATATCGTGAAAAAATGCCCTTTTATATAAAAGACGGGTCTGAAGGTGATTGGCTACGGTCACGTGAATCGGGTTACTATCCGTAGCTCGGTAATTTTACATCGATTTAACATCAATCAATTAAGCGAATAAAATATAAGTAAGACAATTCGTAGACATAAAAAAAAAAAGTAAAACCCACATTCACTTAACGGCCTAACATTAAAATAATACTTATATACTTACATTACATTTATTCTTAGAAGATAAACTTATTGAATATCTATGTTATGAAATTGAGCTTCCAATAAATATAATCAACAATAAATATAATCAACAAAGAGAATCATAAATCGATGATTATTTTACATTTAATACTATGAAGTGTCTTCGGTTCAAATGGTGCAGTAATTTCTTGAAAATTTGTTTTTAAATAAAATTTTTAAATGTAAATCTAAAGTAAAAAATGTGACGGATGAATAGATAAAAGATATAAGTACGTTGATTACTGAAAGTGAAAAAATTTAGTTTATAAAAAGCACTGCCGGAAATAAGCTGAAACTGATTTCCAGTAATTTTGTCAACAAAATATATCTATTGATATTAGGATATTATCACATGAAAAGCATTGAATCGTAAGCAAATACGTTAAAAAGTAAAGAAAATGAAATGATCAGGCACAGCTGACGGTTCGATTTATTTAGAAAAAGAAAAAATGAAACGAACTTATTATCCTTCTTATTGTCTGTAGCTAATTATCTAAAGATCTCCTGCGTAATTGGATTTGAAATGATAACTGAATATATGAATATACACATAACTGGATTGTCATTTCCCAGTTAATACCAACGGATGTTATATGCATGGAATTGCTTTATGTATGTGGTGTATTTTAGGATATTTAATTACTCTTATAAATAGTTTTAATTTGATTGAAGCACGCGAGTATTAGTATAAATGAAAAATGAGCTCGTAAGGCGCGCTAGACCACACAAGTACGTCTGAAGTGTGATGAGCAATACGTCATTTTCCTACTTCAAACGAAGAGAGGACGTGTTTAAAATTTATTCTGTGACGTAAAATCTCTGGAAGAATTTATCCTCAAAATTTTTCCCCGTACTTCTCATCCTTTGTAGTAACATTTTCAGATTTTTATTTTTCAGAGCAAGTTGTGAAATTACGTACGTTGAATATCATTAACGAAGAAAAAACTTTCAAAAAATGTTTCCGTCTAGGTATGTCGCGTGAAGTATTCGATAATCTATTTATGCGAATAGTAGATTACACTTGACGTATCTATTGAAATCCGTAGTATTTAAAAATCTTGTATGGGTGAACAATAAAGTGATAGGCATAGTCAAAGGAAATGCAATCTAGATGACGCCATACATTAATTGGCCATCGAGAAGAAAAATATGAAATCAAGTACGAGTATGTCGAATAAATTTAAAGTTATTGTTCGAGCCGATTACGAATGACGCGCATTAGAGTATCCGTATCACTTAAACTGAAATCACGAAGTCACTTATCTATCTGAATTCGAATAAACTGAAGTCCTGAAATGGATACACACACAAATGGAGAACGATTCTGTGGGAGTTTACGAGATCTTTGAAAGTGATTGCTGCAGTACGCGAAAGTGTTGGTATTTTTCAGGGTCGACGCGAGCCCACGCGTTCAGGAGGCTTGCCCCCTTTTCTTAATCAGGCTGCTCGTGCTTTGGCGTTCGGCGTCGCTGGAGGTCGTTAGCTATTTATAACCATCGCGCGTGAGATTTTTCCAATGTCGAAACTTCCATAGATTGATTTCACACGCGAGATCGATGCCCGCAATCGCCAAGCCATTGTTTTGAAAATGCGCGTGAGCGTGCGAGGCTGACATTTCGTTGCAATCGCACCCGAGCTGCTAGAGTGGACGGGTTACTCGTGATATCTGGATTACATTTGACGCGTGCGCCTGTGAAAAATTAACGCCCGCCGTTTACTAATAGCATCCAAATTGCGCACACCATGTTCTATCGCTGGGCTTTATTTACGGTTCATGCTTAATGTCCACAACTGCACGTGTATGTCAAATAAATTAAACCAATTAAGCGAACGTGTAACACGCCCACGCCATTACTTCAGCTATCAATACGAGCACTGACATTTATATGATCCATTCGCAATGCTCGTCTCATACCTTCTTAATAACCTTTGCTCCCTTCGTCTGAGATCGACTATCGTATTTCCTGTATTCTAATGCGCAGTACGCAATTTGTTTGGCGAACTCTGACCGTGAATCTATTTAAATTTTACGTAAATGCTTTCTTCAGGTTTTTCTTCTTTTGACGTCAAACATTGGACGTCCGTATTAAATATCAATCGAAATAAAAAGTTGCAGAAGCTGTAGATATCCGAAAATTCTACAAAACGGCTTGTATATGCGAATTAATTTTTTATTCCACGTCACTTTTTTTCTAAATCATAAATAAATAATGAGGTATATCTCGGAACTTCTCTCGATACCCGCAGTCTAGTCTGCTACGTTTTTCATCAATGTTTGATTTTTATCATTGCTCAATTTTTTTTAATTTCGCTGTTGAATAGTGTTAACGTATGTACAGACAAGTAAAAAGTCTATTCAAACAAACAAAAAAAAGGATTATATTAAAGTTCAATTATCAACGATGCGGATATACATAACGATAAAATACTTAATGACTCGTTTAAAAAAATTGTTGACCATTATGTCCAAATTTTTTTCAATTTATTTATTAATGTTTACCGTATAAAATTAAAGTTTTTATTAAAAAAAGTTCAATATAAATTGATTAGTATAAGATGGAAATAACAATCCAATACATCGAAGTTGGAAAAAATGTGTTTATTCACAACATCAACTGAAATTACCTTTTGTTTTCATTTTTTGCAATAGCTCGTTCATTGTTTTACACATTTATTTCCCGAGTTTCGGATGATGTCTGCTGTAATACATAAGTTTGTGATGATTAAAAATAAATGATTTGTAAATGTACACAAAGTTATTGTTTCTACAATACATAATATATTAACTCTTAAACTCGTTACAGCCAATTACTAACAGAAGCCTGCTCTTGCAGATTCAGCTTGCAAGTTTTCAGGTTGATTTTCTGACGCCCAAGTCTACTCAAGTAAGGAATTGCACGAGTTGCAGAAATTTCATCTCACGTTTCGAATAGCAATTTTCCGAAGCAAATTCCGAGATTATTTATCGAGAGACCGTTTCACGGTTGCGCGTTGTTTTCCTCTTGAAAAAATGACGATGTACGAAGTACGCCAGCGTGTACTCTTAGTAAACGCCCTTCGCATTAAAGTCGCGAGGTAAAACTCATTGTTGCAGTTTTACCGCGGCATGCTAATCTACGCTGAAAATACGAGTAGCGTTGTACACACACAAAAAAAAAAAGAATATGTTGCCTCGCAAGGTTGCTAGCAAATCAAACATCCGGACAGTAAGCGTCCAAGCAGCTTCTGTCTTGCATTTATCTTTTCAAAGTTATACATCTTTCACGCATAGCCAACGTTCCCACAGGAGCTGGCCTCTGCTATTATCAGTGATAATAACAGTAATCAGCGCGAGCCGCCATGCAAATGAAAATTTACTCCTGCAGAGATGAGTTATACGCGTATTGCTTTCTTTTTAAAGGTCGCCCACGCGATGAACTTCACAAGTTGAGGCAGCCCATTGTCTCTATCGAGTGATTAATGAGGGATCGATTGAAATCTATAATACAGAAACGCTGACCGGCGCTGCTGGCGATCCATCAAACACGGAAACGCCCAAAGCGTAGTAGACGATCAATGTTAAAGATTGTAAGTATAGCTTCAGTGCTATGTATATATAATATATATGTACTCGTATATACCTCGGCACAATGAAATTGCATCAACGGCCGAGCGAGTGAGAATAGTGAGAGCAAAGAGAAAAAGAAAAATATCGGCAACATTGACCGGCGTCCTCCATTATTAGACGCCATTACACTCGCACGGCTATACGCCTTCGCGCAATCGACTTTTCCCGGATTTGCACTGTCACGTCCTCGAGCTCGCGATATTGCACACACACACGTTATGCGCTTTGGAAAAAAGATCGCCATGTGCAAGCTGTGAAATATACAGATCTTATACTAATATATAGCGATGATGAGAACAATGTAACTGTTGTTTTTTTCCCTTTTTTCGAACTAATTTTCATGGTCTTGTAATGCATAACGTTGGGGTTTTGCGATGTACGATATTGCTGTCGAAATTGATTGCTTCGGTGAGAAAGGTCGAAGCCGTTGCACAACTTTTATTAGCCACCTTCGTTTTTCCTATCCGCGTTATTTTTTACAAAGACTTGGCTGCTTGTTGAAGAATTGTCATGATTCGCGTTTTACCGACGATGGCGCCCTTTGATAATGGATCTGGAAGAGTCAATGGATCAATCGTACTTTTATTCTATTTACTACGTCATGTACTAAAATTTTATTTTGTCTGCGCAAATTATGCGATTCAGTCTCTAATTTTCATTTGACACAAATACATCAAATCTGACGTTCTAAAACGCCATCCGGGCGATATACCCGCCACTGACGAAACGCACCAATTTTACAAGCAAAAGGAGTTATCAGAGCTAAAAGTAAATGCGTCAAGCTGTTCAATATTTATTTTCTTCGTTTCTCGAAGTGAAGGTAAATGCCGCTGCCGGGCTGCTGTATGATGTTCTCCGTGTTGAATGTTATTGGAAATTTTGTTTTGTCGCTCACGCGAACATTGTAACGATACAATACCGATACGACTGCCTGCTTCGATTGTACGCCACCGTATCTCCTTCCTGAAAGTCAATGAAAGCACTCATAAGTGTAATAAATTGTAAAAATGAGATCAAATGTTGAAATAGCTCTCACCAATACAGTCTCGCGGACCTTTACCAAACGCCAATTCAAGACAAGGATTTCGACAAGCAATCTGTTCTTTGCTCTGTCGAGATGGATTGAACTTATCTGGATTAGGATAATGTGCGGGATCATTATGTAGGCCAGTCACTGGAATTATTATGCGCATCCCTTTCGGTATTACGAAATCTGAGTGGGGAACTGGAAAGTCCTCCAGTGCCATCCTGTTTAGCAAAGCAACCGGCGGATACTTCCTCATCGTTTCTGCAAATACGTCTCTCGTTAACGTTATTTCACGGATAGCACACATACCTCCACACATCATACCGGTTATAACCATCTCTAGATATTCCATTTCCATAAGAGCGTCGTACGTCACGCCCTCCGTACTTTCGACAACTCTATCGATCTCTTCTTGTAATTTATTTTGTATGTCTGGATTCAGGCCCATCTCGAGTAAACAATAGGATACAGTTGAGGATGTAGTTTCGATACCGCCCAAAAAGAATATAAAAGCCTGCGCAGCTGCTTCTAACATGCTCACTTTGTCGGGGTTCCGATCTAAGGCCACGCGACAAATTAATAAAAATATCACTCGCTTATCAAAGCGTAAAAATTGAGCGCGCAACCTTTGTCATTGGCGCCGAGTGTGCTTTCCTCGTCTTCCACGCTACCCTTATCAACTAGCTGTATCAACAGATTCAGCATATCCTTCCGCACGATATTCTTTTCGCGGCGGTATTCCACAACTTGATTGAAAATGTCACGGAAAAAGTTCTTCGTCTCGGCGTTGAAGAATGGAATAGTGATATTTTCAAGAACTTCCGGAAGAAACATCGCAAACAATTGAGTTATTCTGCCGAAATCAGCAATTTTCATTCCATATTTACGGAATTCACTTTGCGCGTTATTCAAGGTGCCGGTCTCAAGTCCGTACACAACGGTGCAAATGATATCCGTTGTGAACCTGTAAATATTTTCTTTTCTAAACAGTTTTGTATTCGGTAACTAGATTGGGTTAATACCTTCTGACAATGTTCATCATTTCCAAAGTATCAGATTTCTCCAGTTCTTCGTCCATAACTTTAATCATTTCGTTAGCCATTGTCACCATCAGGCCGTGAATGTTTTTCAGCTTTTGTGGCGTAAAAATTGGAGTAAATTTGCCTCTCAGTCTTCTCCATTTTTCGCCAGGTTGAAAGAATAAGTTGTTCGAAAGAGGATCAGTCTTTTCATCGTGGTACCATCCGCGATCGATGAATTTCGAGAAATCTCTGATGAGCACAATTTTTACTAACTCTGGATCATTAACGACGAGTATTGGTTTGTGAAAAATGTAGATTCCGTGAAACGGATGCTTTTTAAATCGATCATACGTCGCTTTTACCAGGTCGCCTGAAATGACATGCATGATTTTTTTAGTTGACGATCGATCGATGCAATCAAGAAGACAAACACATAAGTTGCATTGAAAATGTACGTATTGTATCTTTGTTTAAACAGTGCCGGGAAGGTATCTCATCCTGATACCTATTTCTCATAAAAAAAAAGAAACAAAGCTTCAAAATTTGTGAAAGCACACAATTATTTCATTCTTTACAAAATGCTAAATTTATAAACTAACATATCGGAAACATTATTAAACTGAAAGTTCATTAGAAGAGAGAGAGTTGGCTGATAAGATAAGACTTTGTTGATGCTTGAAAAGGCGATGCTGAATATAAATACACGTAACAGATAATTATTGAATTAATTTTCATTTACTTTTACGTAAAACAAATAATTAGAGAGGTACAGCTTACCAATCGGCAAGTAACCTAGAAAATACGAAATCGGTACATTTCCGAATGGGAATGACGGAGATTCATATGGAACGTTAAGTTTTTTCCAATAATTGAAGCTGATGTACTTGAAATACAGGTATACAATAACAAAAATTGTTGTAACTATCACTATCGCAGTACTCAAGTATTCAAACATTTTGCAGCAATGATACGTCTCGAAGATTAGATAATTGTAATTATAACTGGTGGTTCGAGAAGAACGATCCGTGTACAACGAAATCCGCAATCATACTACGTGGCTTCGGTATAGCCATGCACTGACCAAGTCCGTGTATCGCATTATCGCGCACTCAGTTCAACTAAGATTTGCCTAACAATGATACGACATTTACTAAAGCATTGTTATTATAAAAGACGAAAGATATGCAGAGCGATTCGTAGTGCTTTACAATTTAAATAGGGCGTAAATATAAGTTACCCACTGTTCCGTACGACCGAGTATAATTTAACCGTGGTTTGCTTACAACGAAATCAAGATGCTTGTGTCAAAATCGAAACTCGTGCTGACGATGACGTGTGCCCGTTTCTATTTCTAATTTCTCTCTTTGTTCCATGATTCATAGCCGATATACGATACAACTTATATACGCATACAAAATCCGATAAAGCCTTCGCTCTCGAATCTACGACCGTACAATCAAGTGTCGCCAAGCCGACATTCGAAAAATTCTTCGGAGAAGAAAATAAATTGTAACGAAATGTACGCGATTATGCCATCTTTTAATATTGTCTCTGCGCCTTTTTTGGACTAAGTATGGCTTGTAAAATGGCAGGCTTTTTCCTCTCAGACGGCGAGGTTTTTTATGCCGGCCATTTATTTAAGTTTAGTGTAATTTTAAACCGTTTCCCGTTTTCTCTACTTGTAACCTTCGTAGTATTAATCACCTAGACATAAGCTGAATGAGTGAGCGCAATCATAATTTTATTGGCGAAAATTATTGTAAACAGAGCGATTAAAACTATACAGAATGATGCCGGCCGACACGAGCTGAATTATAACAAACATAGAGTAGAATTTGATCGGAAGGAGAACCGTACAATTATCACATGTCATGTTTAAAAAAAAATACAAAAATCTAATGCCACCTGCTCTAAAGCTCGCAACTCGAATCGCATGCACATCCATAGATCGGATGGGAGCCATGCATACCGCAATATATGCAACCTCGAACATTTACCGTGCAAAGGCACATCATTGTTGGATTTTTATCGTGCAAAGGCACATCATTGCTGAATGTTTATCGTGCAAAGGCACATTCTCATTTAAGCACTTTTAGCGTGTAACATTACACCATCACTTGAACGTCTGAAAAGCCGTGCAAAGGCACACGATCAATTGATAGAGCGAGCAGTATGGTGCGCATAGCTACGCGTATAGTCCAAACGATAAGCTAAAAACGAAAACTGACGCCTTCCACCTCTAAGCCCCTTTGAGGGGAAGAAAAGGATGGAGGAGAATAATGCTTTGATTTCTCGGCTCGTTCGGCAAGCATCATTCAAGTATTAGTCAGAAAGTTCTTGGCTATCAGCGAGGCAAGTTGTTCTTTCGTTACTAACTCGATTCAAGCGCACTTATAATTTCCGATAGTCTAAAGATATTATTTGTTTTTTACAACTTGATTTCATTTGTTTATTCATAATTAATAATTACTAATAATTTTTTTTGTCATAATAATAAATTAGATATAATTTTGTAATAATTGTTTTTATTCACACTACTCTTATCGCGAACACCCACGAATACAATTAACACGTACAGTTGTCCATTTATAGATTAAGGTATGAAGTAATTTTATTTTAATTTTAAGAAGCTGCAAGACTTACATATTTGTAGACACACACACTCCCCCCCCCCCCCCCCTCACACACACACATACATGTATATATGGGCAAATCCTCAAAACATTATATCACAGTACAAAAAAAATTAAAAAAGAAATAGGAGCACACTTTTGAGTTTTGGTACCACTTCTGGTTAGTTTATAAGATTACGTTTTGACCTCTGTTAATGTTCTAATCGTGGGGGCGTACAAATTATGAGGTCATAATTATGAAAATAAAACATTTATCTCATTATATATATACACACACACACACACACACACACACACAAAACTTATTATAATATATTATATATATTTTAATTTGAATATACTCATGAATTTTGAATGCGCTTTGATCCATCAATCAGGGATATTGAATACTCGAGTTTACACTTACTGTGGCATCAAAATTTCAGAAAGTTTTTCTGTACTATGAGAAAAATTGAATTATTCAAGCTATTTATGATATACAAACAGTCGATTCGTAATAGTTGCTGCGAGAGTAATATGTATAGCATAGTAATCGGATCACGTGCACAAGGTTCATTTTTTAATTAGAACCAAGTATATTTATTCAAATTTTCGGTAAAAACAAAGAGGCGCGCGAATAACTGATATAACTGTACCGAAAAGTGAAAAATACACACATCAAGCCTCGCGTTTTCTTAGCCTTCTAATTTTTGAATGAAACAAAGCACGTACACGACCTAGTGGTGCAGCTGTATTATGTAAAAAAGTAGTTGAAAAGTCAAAAAGTGACTCGAAATATTCAGGGGCGTCTTAAAAAAATTGTTAAGGGTTAGTAATTTTTTTAAAACTCGCATACCATTTTTTGCATACCGTTTTTACCATTTTTTGTTTTTGCAAAATTTTTTCTGGATATATCAAATATTATTTCATACTTCTAAAACATACAAAATGTTGATATATATATCCATAGATACGACAACAAAATAATGAGGCTGAATAAAGTTATTGCGTTTGTTATTATTTGATTATATTATTCGCCTCGCTTGATATTAAAAGTTTTGAGGATTTTCCCATACACACACATACACACATATATACACACACGCGCGCGCACACACACACACATATACACACAATTTAAAATTTATATTGAAGATAAATTTGTAAATTTTCATAACAGGATTTCAGTGAATATATTTTTCTGACAACGATTTAAAAGTAACTCCAAAATACAAGACGTTTTTAGGAACATAATTGTAATTTTATCTGTACAAAGTTGACATAATATATATGCAGATGTATTTCTCTACATTTTACGTGCTACAATGGACTGGTTAATGAAATTTCTATTGTTACAACTTTTCTCGTAATACACACAATCGGAGTGCCTTTGGCAACTGCAAAAAGGAGGTTTTAATATTTTTATAAATGTTTTCATATATCTCTAGAATGGTTCAACCGATTTCAATAAGGAAGGGGGGGGGGGGCGCTAAGAAAAGCGTAAGTTCCTGGTTCCATTCGTTATGGTCTAGTGTGTCGAAATTACGAAAAGTTATTGTACTTATTACATAAAATTGTTAGGATAAAATCGAGCAAAATTAAACACGAGGTAAATCTGAATTTCTATATCTACATCTCATAAATGGAGCGTTTGAATATGTTGTACACTAACTCTCTTATACCTACTATTATAGATTTTTTAAAAGGGATGAAACCACTAAATAAAATTATTTGAATTTCATACAGTACCATTTATTTGGATTTCGTTTTTTATTTGTAAAGTAGTGTCCAATCCATTTCTCATACATCTATAATTGGTAAAATATTACGATATGAAATGTTAATATTGCACGTTAGATTATTATTATTATTTCCATGTAAAAGCTTATGTTAATTGTTGATTTATACATTAGTTGTTTTCAACTGAAAACTCGGACCGAACTTGTGATTGACCTACCATGTTAATAAGAAGGGGATAGAGATTTGTGAAACATTCATCTGTCAGAAGTTCTTTACTCGAATATCATTTTTGGAACTATTAATATAGTTATATATTTTATGATAGTCGTAATGCTGACTCAGGATTGAATGAAAATGGTCTGCAAATCATACTCATATATATTCCTATTTCTATAGTACTAGATTTGCATTACCAAATCGCCTAATGTATTAAATTCAAATAAACTTCCATACATGAAAATATAAATAAAATCGATCACAATGAACACCTAGCCATAATTAATTAAAACTAAACTGAAACCGTTGGCTTGCAAATGTGTCGATGTCATTAGAAATAGTTATTTCAACGTTGTGACTAGCACTGATTGAGTAAATTTTCGAAACTAGAGCGGACGAATTATGAAAATACATAGAGCAACAGGTCGCGGGTATATGCCACTTCATTGTCCTGAGACTGCTTCATTTACGTACAGTAACCATCGTTTGAAAAGTTTCCAACGGCAAATAAACGACCTACTAAAAGCATGTCCGCGCAGATGAAAAAGGAGGAAAAGCGAAAGACGAAAAAATAATATGTAGTATACCGACACTAAGCTCTGCACTCGTCTCGCAGGCATTTTATTGAGCAGTTACGCTAAAAAGCAAAAGTATTTTCTTAAGCCAGCAGGGTAATCGGTCGCGAGCTTTTTGCTCTCGCATCGAGCTCCGTAATTTAAGCCGTTCCTAGCCTCCCGTCAACGATATATGCAGGCCGAGTCGTGAGAGTTTCGGCAACGTTAGGATCACCATAACTCATCAATAATTGCTGCTGTGGCGACGGACGGTGGCAAAAGTGTGAGAAGAACAATCGCCAGCTCGCGAGCCAGAGTATATCGACGCTCTAACGGCTCCTTACCTTGTTCGCGAGAATATGTGTGTCAGTAGGTGCATCTATATATTCCGCCTCACTTTCAAAATTAAATGATTTTCTTTTAATGACGATTGCTTTTTTTACGCGAGGTCCAAATTGACTATTTCATTCGTTGAAAGGACTTTTAGGAAATCGACAGTACTGTTGATTTCAATTACACGCGTAGACTAGACTTTTTTTTCGTTAAAATGAATCAATCAATCTTTCAGCATGAACAGAGAAGAAAATTTTTCATATAAGATTGATGACTTGTACCATGTTACAACGGGGATTCGTAGATTATTGAATCCGTTTTTTTCTTCTCTTGGTACCTCTGAATTATCAATTTAAAACACTCACAATTTATGTTGTTGCATATCCGGCAACATTATTTCACTCTATTAATAATTTTTGCCATAAATAATTGATTGTTTTTATTTGAGCAGCCATTGATCGTATCGACTACTCGCAACATAAATGTTTGTCCGAATCAATTAAAATGCTCAATTACGTAGTTTTGAAGATGCAAAAAAATCAATAATTAAAAAATTCGTACCTCCAACAATAGTTCACGCAACGGCAATTAAATCAATGAAACAACGGCCACCAGCAACGCAATTTTTATAACACCGTGATCTTGCCAATTATAACAATCGCAATTTAATATATCCCCCGATCGCGAGCGCAAACGAGGTCACTCTCGCGAGTAATAGCGGAAAATTCATAATCAACCGTTTCAGCCACTGTACAATTGGCTTGAAAAATAAAATGAAAGAAAAAAGCACAAAAGCCAAGGTGAACGGCGTTTGTTGGGCAATCTGTATTCACATACGCGTACACGAAACGCGCGGTATGTGGTAGTAACGTCCGGAATCAAACTCATGAGCTAATGCTCCTTTTATCTTTCTCTCGCTCTTTCTTTCTTTTTGTAATGGGTCGTAAATCATACGTAAATGCTCGTTAGAAAAGCTTGATCGGTATCTCTCATATGCGTACGGAAGTTTCGATTTAAGCTGGATAATAGCAGTCACTCACTGGATCTCTTAGTGGCGTTCGTTGGTGAGAGGGGCTTTGATTGTTCTTGCAGCATAACTGGCTACAAAATTATTTCTAGGTTTTTACCAAATTTATCTCAAAGCTTCTTTCGTGGTCTGTAACCGAAATCAGCGTTGCGGAACTAATGGATTATTTCATTCCCGCTATCTACTTACGTTGTTTCTTTTTTCAATTTTCGAAACGCGTTCGACTTTTGTTCCGCATTATCAACAGACTTTGAATTATAAAATTTAACGAAATAAAATATCGAGACTCTTATTTTTAAATTAATCTGTCAGTTTAGCAAAAAATGATAGATTGAGAAAAAAAATTTCAGCGAATAAATAATGATAACTATTATAAAATTTTTTGTCCGCGTGTGAATCACATTGACAATTGTTCTTATACATGCGATAAGCTGCTGTTTATTTAGTTGGATTCTGTAATTGTTGGCTACAGAATTAAAAAAAATTATGTAATGATATCTGCTATGAGAAAGCGTTGTACTTCTAAATTTCAAGTTTGAGTGTTCATTGATTTTGAGATATATTATTAGTACATAATGCCTTGAGTCTGGGCAAAAACAATGCGCAATATGATTAATACAGGATGATAATTCAGAATTGATAACGGAAAACTCCATGCTGTAAACTATTTTTAAAATAGCTTATATTTTCGGAAGTAACGGACCCTACGAAAATTTTTATTACCGTAATTTTCCAACCTCGCTATTTTGATTTATCTGCGATTTAATAGATTGAATGATGAAAAATTAAATGTAACTAGTAGCTATTAATTACTAGAAATACTTGGTAAATATATTGCAACGCTCTAAACATGTTCATCATTTCTTTTCGAGCAAATATTTCACAAAAATTACACACGCCATCTATTTTTTCTACTATCTTACTTATCGAACTAATCTATGACATTTTGAACAAGATTATAAGTTAAGCCTATTTGTTCCAACAGGCTTTTTGCGATTTTGCAATTGATTTTGCTCGATAAGACATACTACAATTCTTTCGTCGAACTTCCTTGTGAAACTTTCGATTTGCTCTCTCTCGCGAGTATAGTTACTGCGTCTGCATACAGATTTAAATTGGCTTTTTCGCACGTGCGCCTTTCGGAAAGAGTAGTGCAATTTGCATTCGGTGCGTATAACAGTAGAATTTTTCATTTCTGTCCAGGCAGCTCATAATGAATCGTAAATCGGCGAGAATTGGGTTAATTTCGTCATGAAATAAATGACGTGGTGGGCCACGCTGAGGATCCACAGGAGCGATTGTTTTGCAACTTGCCATTGTGAAAAAAAGTGCGATTCGGGAGATAATATTGAAACGTTTTGCTCTCATCCTTGCTAGCGGCGCGCGGATAGTTTTAGTATTTTTGGTGCACGTTGCAAAATTTTATTTTGATATAGAATACATGTTTGTACAATAATAGCGCCATGTATGCCTATAATATAATTTTCGGATGTCTACCCAAATCTATATCTTTTTAAAGTCAACTTTATAAATTAATTATCTATGTTAATATTATATTAGCGCTTAAAACTAAACAAGCAATTCATAAATTACTCGGAAAATCTCTCAGTGCGAGTTAATGATTAGTCGTGTAATATTGTTATTAGTGATTACGATCTATGCAGTTTTCGATCAATCATTTTAATAGACCTACATCATTTGTATACAGTACATTACAACATAAATTAAATATGCTAATATTTATTAATCGTATTGCGATACAGAAGTATGTATTTTCAAAATTACAATTTCGATAAAAATTTGTTATTGGTTACAGGTCATGTTAATTATCAAGTTGACGATTACATCAGAAAAAGTTTACGATGTAATTTTAGATACTTTGCACGTGTGATCTTATATGTAATACCATGTTGTGTTTTAATTTTACGTAAATAAAAATTAAATATGAAATCATAAACATAAATATAAAAACTTACAATGTCCTTCCTTATATTCTCACGGCGCTTTCACAATAAGATTGAAAACTCTAACTAGTATGATATCAAATATCTTGTAAAAAAAAAGTGTTCTCGGTGCAGTAACACCTAGCAGTTCTCACTGCAGTGACATTGAAACCACATGAAATGCGAAGTCCCTCTATACCGTAAAACTTTCCTAAAGAATCGTTATTTGACGAGCGTTTCTGCCCAAAAGCAGCCAAAAAAATAACTGGAGAAAATGACGTAACAATCGTGCGATGCAGTAACCTTGACGTTAGCTTACATCAGAAATGTCCCCACCCACGGAGAATTATGAGGAGCTGGAAGGCTGAAAAAAGCCTCCCTCAATTGTATGATTAAGAAAGCCTGCTTGTAAAAGTAGGGATACATAATCTCCCCCGCTCGGTCAGAAGCGCGCGCGAAAGGTGGGAAAAGACAGGCGCACACAGGAGTCAGCTGTGCTGTGCGCGGCATAGAGCTCTCCTCAGCGCGTGGCGTACGACCAGTCACCTTTCTCTCCTCGAGTCGAGAGCTTCGCGTGCACCGTCGACGCGCATGGCGCTCGTTTAGAAGGAAAGCCACGCTCAGGTGTTCGCCTTTTCTTTTGCGCGATCTCTCCCCGGTCGTTCGGCGCCGCTCATCTCGTTCTCGTTCTCTTTCTCTCTTTCTCTCTCTCTCTCGCCATCGTTTCGCTCCTATGCATCGAGTGCCGTTGGTTGTCGTTCAGTGAGAGACGCAATCGAGTAATACGAAGGGGCGCGACGACGACGATCACAATTGCACAACGTCGCCGTGACAACAGCCGAACGATGCTTCTACCGACGAGCAGAACTTGGTTGCTCGTGCTGCTGCTGGCCCTCGCGTCCACGACAGGTAAATGCTGCTTCGTTTTTTCGGCTTTCCGATGGATAATTATGCAAGCGCACGTCTACTCGTGATCTCATTGTCTCTCTGTGCGGCCGTGCCCCTCTTGTCAACCCTTTTGCGCGGGCCTCGACTCGATAATTATTGCTCGCAAGCAGCAGCCCGGCTTTTCTTCTTCCCAATTTGGAGCGAAAATGCATTCTCTCTCTCGGAGTTGACCCTCGCAACAGTTTGTCGGCAATTGATCAGTGCGGGCTAGACAGTCGTTGTGCAACAAATTTGAGTTGTGGGTAGTGCGCGTTGCGAACGCCGATCCACGACGAATTTTTCGCATGAATTATCGGCCGACCTTCGATCGATTCCGCCAATAACTCGATGCCCGAGCATCGCAAAAAATCCCGACGGTCCGTCTTGGTTCAACGTTATCCAATCGATCTAATAAATCTATAACAATCTACGCGCGATCCTGGCGAGCGAAAAGCAAGGGAAACAACATGAGATTTGCGCGCGCGCGCGTGCGTTTCGAAATCCATTTGGGGCGCAGCGAAGCACTTGCGCGCGCAAAATTGAATTAAGCGCAATTCGTTAGAACCCAGTGTCGCTTACTAATTTCAACCAATTACGCTCCGAGGTGCAAATTGCTCCGCGAAAGCTAATGAAGAAAAAGCGCGATTAGAGAGTGAGTGCACACCGACGCCGAGGAGTGGGTTTTATTAATTCTTCCAACGCGCCGGATTACGCAACGCTCGCAAGGCAACTTCGCTTCGGCGTGTGCCGTTTTTTTTTTCTCCCCGGCGAAATATCTGGCGCAAGCCCCTCGGGGTGAGTTCGATGCCTGCGGGGGTCGTTTCGATTTGTCGAACGCGCGCAACTTTCAAAGCTACGGACAAAAATGCGCTGCATGCGAAATCGCGCTTTCGTAGAAGTGACCAGTTTCACGTCAGCTCTCCTATATGGTATAATAAGTGCATTCATTATTATACTTTTAGTCGTGATGATAAGCTCGTTAAAAAGGTTCCAGTTTAAAGAATTTACCTTTACCATTGTGAATAATGCCTCGATCCCTTATGTTGATATATCGCTCAAGTTTGTTGCATAATTTACTTCAAAATATACATTAACGTATAATCCTTCGATCCATTAGTGTAAATTATAATGCTATTGAAATCATCGCTCAAAGAACAAACAAATCAAGTCGTTCTGATATGCTCGATAAATTTACATTTGATCAAGACACGAAAATATTCGTTGAAAACTAATTTTCCACGCCTTTGGTTGTCAAACTCACACCGACTGAAAATTAATTATCGTCGTCAAATATATTTCTAAATGGTCGTCATTTTTTAATTATATTTTTATTGAGCATTGCGGAGCATTTTATCGAGCATTTCTTTAAAAATGCTAAAAAAATTTCGCAAATTTGAACTCATCGCAAACAAAGATATTGACTTCCATACGTCAAAGCATCAACGAGAGATATTTGCCGGCCTGTCAAAAAATCTACATCGGCCAAATAAAATGTGCGCGCGCGCGCGTATGTGTGTGCTTCGCATCGCCCTGGAGGCCTTTTTGCAATCTTTTGGGCACTGCTTTTCGCAACGGGCGGCAGTCGTTCGCTAGTGCCGTGATCAGCGCCGCAGATTACATTGATTTCGTAGACGCACGCGAGCGCGTCGGAGAGAGGGAGATTTGGGCTTTCTTAATATGCTAATTCGCGCGCTTGCGAGCAAAACGATCTTCCGACGTGAATTGTATCATCGCGCTCGCGATGTATCCTCTTTGCCCCTTCTTCTCCTTCATCACCGACCTGATCTGCTTTGTTTAGAATGTAGCTATATAGAGGTGTATTTCATAACTTTCGTTAGATGTGTTTTGATTGGGTTTTTTCGGTAGTCCTTGATGAAAGGTTACGTCATAGAAATTGTGTTCCGATAATATTCATAACACTTGGTTTGCAAATTGTTCTACTTGTGTAATTTTATATAGTGTGCGATCACATTTTGGATAAAAGCGGGTTTTCATAATCGATTTCATTGAAATTTTTAGTAAATTGTCCGTTATGAAAGAGCGACTTCTAGAAAATTATTTGCAATTGTCGATATCATATTTTAATAAGGTATGATTCTAACTTCATTTATATATTAGTAGAAATAAACATTTCTTAGAAAATTATCCTCCATTGAACGCGAATCGTGAAAAGCATCCCTTCGAGTCGTCGAAAATCAGCATAGAAATATAGTGAACAGTAAGCGACAACAATTTATGCATAAATCAAGCGCACGATATAAATGCACTAGCGTAGCAAAGTTCACCTCAGTGAATTTACGACGAGAGGAGGCCGACGCATAATTCGACAAGGTGGTGAAAAGAAAATACGTGCGCACGCTCCGCAAGCCATTCACTAACATTGAATGTTAATGGAACGTTCACACCTCATTCAAGTATATATACATTAGATCAGGGGTGGCACCGATATTAACATACCTGACCGCAGCGACAACGTAACACAATGAACTTCGCGGCACATTCGAAGAGAAAAATGATAATACACCGTTATGACGTCCGTAATGTCTTGTGAACAAAAAAAATATTTTTTCTCATCCTATTATGACATCGGAAAATATTGTTTGCAGTACACACGGGCAAATTCGGCTTAATTGGCAGCGGTGCTTATAAACACGTGAAAAACGTCAGCGAGAGAGATCTCATGAAGCCGATTATGATTCGACGTTTTGATTTCATGATTAGTCTTTTACACAAAGACACCGTGCATCGCGTGGATACTATATGCTTAATTAAATCCTCTCCCGAGGAGCTTTGTTTTAACGGGAGAAAGCGCGCAGCTTAATGCATTTTTTCTTGCTCTCACGACGTCACGCAAGAGCAAACTGCACGCAGCACGTACGTATGCGCTGCCAATTGGTTAATATATTTATTACATCGTTATTCGCCGTTGTGATTGCCGGCACGTGCGTTTTGCATCGTTCAAGGTTTAACGATGGAAAGCGCTTCTAATGAGAGACGTTAGTTGCTTCTCTTTCTAGGTTCTTTGAAAAAAAAAAGTCAAATTCAAGGTTCGACTGTTTCGAAATGCCTAGATGATACGCCGCCACCTCGTGCAAAGGGAAAATGAATAAAACGAGCCAAGGCTTTTTACGTTGCAGTGTACATTCGATGTATAGAAGATGTTGCAATTCCATTGTCTCGCAGTGTTAATTTATTCCGCCAAAACTATTCGTACACGCGCGTGAAACGAAAATCCGCTTATACGTCGTATACGTCGAACGGAAAACGTTATAAATCAGTCTCCATTGAGAATGCCGAAAAACAAATGCACAACCAGATGACAATTCGTTCAATCAGCTGGACGAATTTAAATGAAAGTAAAAAGCGCACAATTCAGCGTGTCGTAAACGAGCGTTTGTTTATCAAACGAATCGAACCTCTTCATTCATTCTTGTGCATATAGGTGATCGCGATCAAGGCTGACGCGCGCGACGGCGCTCTACTCCCCTTCTCTCTCTCTCTCTCTCTCTCTCTCTTTCTCTCGTGTATAACATTGCGAAACTCTTAATCGGCTTTTTTGCTATTTCTTTTTTTTTTAAAGAACTCTGGAATGCGCGTACTTTAATTCTAACTGGCTAATGAGTTACCTGCTCGCTCGTTCTACAGACTCGCATCTGGAGATATTCGGGATTGGAAAAACGAGACGAATTTCATTTCTTTCTTTTTTCTTTCGATTGATTATGTCTTTGAGGATTGATGTTGGTTGTTGTATAACATTAGTAAAAACTATTTGTATTTCGTTTATTGTTGTTACTCAAAATACTTTGAGGAAGTTTAATTAGATAGGGTAAGCGAATGTACAGTTTATATGATTTTTTTTTAATGGGCTAGCTTTCTTTCTACGCTTCCTGAATGATCTATTTTTGTCTTGTCACGATATAACATTCTAATTGATTTTCATTGGTGTACTTTCAATTCGCAACCGTGTATATCTGCGTGCCAGTTGAATCGATAAGAGTAGCATTCAGCGGTGATTTCTTAACACATCATACTCATGGAGCCCGACCCTTTGGCACGTCATCAACAATTTCAAAAAATAGCAAAGCAAGCATTCAGTTGTACCACGCGAATAATTCAAGTGCACGCTACAGCAAAGTGAAATTATTAAGGAGGATGAGATCCCTGCACGTGATATTTCGTCGAATGATGAGCATCGACGCGCACGGCACCCGAATTCGCGTATAGAAATCTTTGGGAGTGAATACGGTTTCGCTTTATAACCTTGGCATTACAGTGCGTGCACGCGGCGACGTTGTTCTGCCAGTTGGCGCAACGACCCCAATGATTTTTCTTTTACGTTGATAGTTGACGAGGCGAGCGATTAAAGCCGATTGCGTTGTAAAACTTTTGCGCGCCTAGGTATACAGTGTCCTTTCGTCGCTCCGGCAACGCTCCGAACGATACTTCGTTCGCACTCGCCGTTGGAATTTATTTTGAAGAAACGACGACTTTGCTTTCTGCATATACTGTTAGAGCTCTAATTCACCGGTCGCGCGAAAAAGTAAGCGGGCATTTCGCTTGTGAAACGGGTATGTACCGCGTGGTGTAAATTCACGGTGTCGTGGCGATAACCAACGCGAAGGGTTTTATAGACTTGGCAAGATTCGCTGGTTGACGAGTTGTGGGCTCGTTTTCCAATAGTTATTTACTATCAGTCAGCGCGCGCCAGCTCAGGGGGCGTCAGCTTGTTTGCGTAAGGATGCACCACCTCCTTGAGTTATTATGCGCGCAGCTAACGCATGCAAATTCATTTTAAGGAAGTCGGAGTCGAGTTTTACTGCGCTCGGATACTTTAAAGTTCATTGACCGTATCTGACTCCGCAAGAGTCGTTTGGATTAACAGGTTTAGCTACCTTCACAGGATGTTTTGTTTTTTTTCTTTTTGTGTTCGCAAGTGAAAAATCGGTCGGTTTTCTTTTGTTTGACTAACCGTTTTGAAAAAA